AGTGGGGCTGGGGAGCACCACAGGCCAGCTCCAGGCCATGTTATCCCTGCTGGCAGCTCTTCTGGGCTGTAGACATTTGAAGTAATCATGGGGAGTACAACACCACCAGACTCAATTTATTGACACACCTCAACATGAGAAGGGCAGGACTCACCTCAACAGGAGGACAGGGGACAGCAGCCTGGTTCAGGCCCTCACCTGCAGTGGGTTCCTGGGCTGGCTGGCTGGATTTCCTGGCTAGAAGTCCAGGGCACAGATCAAGGCTGTGCCTCGTTTGATCCARTGCTTCTCTGGTTTGTCTGTAGGGATCTCCACAGCAATCACATAGTTGGTGGAGTGGCCCGTKGTTGACAATGTGCCTATAATGGGGGAAGCAAGGGCAAGAGGATGATACTGTTGCACACTGACCAGGGAGTCACAGACAAGTGACCCCATCCAGGAGCCATTGTCCCCACCCTGAACAGGCTGAGCAGGGCTGGGGAAAACAGGCTTGTGGGCTTGAGGGGAGCCTGGCCAGGGGCACTGCTGCAGAGCCAGGGTGCCTGGCTGCTCCATCTCAACCACAGCAGGAGAAACCTTTTTTCCCTGGCTGGCCACTGCCACCCGTACCTTGCTCCATGGTCATTTATGGCAGAGGAATTCCCTACTGCCTCTCCCGGGCTGCCCCTCCTTGCCACCCCTGCAGCTACCGTGCCTCTGGAAATCTGCCTTTAGGGCACCTACCTGCACGAGTGAGAGTCTTGTAGATGGGGCASAGGTAGGAGCCGGATTCCGGAGGCTTGCGGTTGGGGACAGGCACCAGCCAGATGACAGCCATCTCTGTGTAGAGCTCCTTGGGGCGTGACTCCGCCAGCTTACCCGCAGCRGCGTCCCAGCGGGCGCCCTCCAGGAACAAGCCGTGGATGTAGCAGCCCACTTTAGGCTGCTCCSTGAGCTCCTTCACCGACTCCTTCATGACCTGCCCAGGGGAGTGGCCGTGAGGCCCTTGCTCAGCCCCAAGAAGCCTCTTAAGCAACTCTCAAGGCAGCATTACCAAAGGAGAGCCTGCCCCAGCTCTGAGGGGCTGGGCTGCATTTTTTTGGCAGCTCCCATGATGTGGGGCAGCCTGTGACAGAGCTGGTGGAGGGGGATGTGAGCAGGTCTGGAAGCAGAAGCTGCTTCCAGCCTGCAGCGGTGTCTGGGCATCCCCTATCCAAGCACAAAGAAGATAATGGGGCCATGGACAACTGTGCAGCCTGGGTGGGTCAGGGCCTTTGTGGCAGGAGGTTCCCAAAACAATTCAGAGCCCCCACCTGATGTACTGACCTGGAAACTAAATGAGATGGTGTCGATGGAAATGACTGACTTCCTGGCAAAGTTCTGCAGTGTCCCRGTGAGGAAGGCCTGGGGGAAGAAGAAACCGCTGATCCAGAACACAGAGGGGATCCCACGGCGGATCCAGTTCTGCAGGAATTCAATCCGCTGCACCAAGTCGTTCACCCACGATGCCAATGGCTTCAATGATGGATAGGCCTGGGGGGCACACACAGAGGGAGGTGCTGAATGCAGTCAAGGACAGCCTGGACCTCGTGCCTCCATTGCTGAGAGCTGCCCAGAGCTGGGAACAACTGGGAGCTGCACTAGGCAGGAGACCTCTCCATGCCAGGGGAGCAAGAGCCAGCAAGAGCCAGCSCAGCGCAGCAGCAGTGACTGTGACCCATTCCCCTGGTCTGGGTGAGCTCTGGAGGCAGCTGGGCTGGCAGGGGCACATACCTTGGCATTCCAGAGTTCAGGAACAGTRTTGTTGTACAAACTGCTGGCCATCAGCTCCAGCCGAGAGGACATCACCACCAGGCCCTTCAGAGCTTTCAGCAAATCCTTTAGAGTTTGAGCAACCTCCTCCAGGAGCTTGTTGTACCTACAGGGAAAGGGCAGAGGGAGCAGAGTGACTCTGTGCAGTGGTTTATTGCCTGTGCCTGCCCACAAAGGGTATGGATCTCTCTCATCTCCTCCATGTAACCCCCAGCTCCATTCCTCTTCAAMAGGGTCTCACAGCTGCTCCCCCAGCCCTGAACTGCTCACTGCAGCAGATGAAGACAGGCCCTGGCTGGGACAGCACAGCTGTTAGTATGAGTGCCAGCCCCACTGCTGTGCTAAGCACTGAGGTTACACCACTGAGGGTGGCAGCAGGGRCCTGCACATCTCTGCTGCTCCCCAGGATGTGATCCCACAAGAGTTTTACCTGATCACCTCCTGCACCAGCACTGTGTTCATGGATTCTTCATARAGCAACGGGTATTTGTGGATCACCTCCTGCACATCCATGGGCTCAGGCAGCTTTGCCAGGATGTCCTTAGAGGTCTCCTCCACGATCTGGAAGGAAGGCAGCAAGTGGTAACATCCTTCTAATCCAGCCCCATGGCTGCTGCGAAGGGGGAGAGCCAACACCCAGCAGCTTGTAGTGACTGCCCAMAGTGGGCACTGGCTGCCAGAGCAGGACTGGGGCACCCACCTCTTCCCTGCTGCGGCCTCCCAGCGTGATGGTCTTGGGCTGCAGCTGTGATAAGGCCCCCAGCAGAGCAAAGGTCTCGTTCTGGGCGAAGGTGATGTCGGCATTGTCGTGTAAACCAAAGAGCTCCGGGCTGTCATTGAGAGGCAGGCTCTTGACATATTGGAGGTAACCCTGGAGAGGAATCCACACAGACTGTGAGGCCAAGAGCAGCTGAAGAYCCCCAGGTTCTTACAAACTTGCATCCCCACAGGGACCTGAAAATGCAGTGTTTCAGGGAGGAGAGATCCCCTTTGCACTGTGACAATCCCCCTGGATCTATGAGCTACAATTTGTGACTTGAGTACTTACACTGAGGTCAGAAGCMGTACTGATCTGCTTGTAGACACCTGATTCGGAATAGGCAAAGTCAGGACTTAAAACCTCAGGTTTGTAGAAATCTTCCAAAATGCTCATGATGCAGCGCCGGTCCCAGTCGTCAGTCACACGGCCGCCRTAGTTGATCTCCCCAGCTGTGTATTTCAGAACCTGCAAGAGACCCCACATGGTTCTGATCCCGTGAGCATCACGAGTCTGATCCCTCACAGGAGGGGCAGCTCTCACCTTGTAAGGAATGTCTGCATATTCGTTCAAGAACATATGCAGCTGACTGATGCAGATGCGCAGGTCTCCRTCTGTGAACTCATAGGGGATGTTGAACCCCAGAGGCCCAAACTTTCTCCTCTCCAGCATGTTCCCATGGAAGAAGCAAAGGGACAGCAGCAAAGATTTAAACTCTGTGACCTGGGGGAAGGAGGGAGAGGAGTTGTTCAGCTTGGGAGGAGGCATCCTTGGAGGGCGTCAGGTCCTGCTGAGACCTGACAGAGCAAATGTGCCAATTCAGGAGCGCCARCTGGAGCTTGGAGAGGGGGAATCCTCAGGCAGGCTGCTGTGCTGGGGAAGGCCATGACCCACTCCTTGCTTAAAGAGTACTGCAAGTGCCTTATGCCAGGCCTCCAGAATCCTGTTGCTTCTGTTTCTTAAAGTAAACCTTCCAAGTGGCTCTTCACAAAGTAGATGTGAGTTTATGGAAATACCTCCTTCTCTAGCACGTGGATTCTGTGATAGAGAGGCAGATCTGTGCTTGGAGAGGAATAACATCTGGGTGGAAAGCATACATTGGAACAGGCACGGAAGAGGGACAGCAAACCAAAGCACAATCTGGGTCTTACCTTGGAGCAAGAATTCAAGTAGTCATCACTGAAACTAATGTAGGACTTGAGCAGGTTGGCCTTGACCCCACGGGGGGGCTCGATGGTCATCTTGGAGCCATTCTGGAGAATGGACACAGGGAAGTGGTTGCTGGGTAGACTGGTGAGCCAGAGGCGAAAGTCTGGATGCACCTGGAAATCGAGAAGGAATCGAATGCTCAGAGGGTGCAGGCACAGCCCCTGCAGCTGCTSCTGCACTGATCCTCTGGATTTATGAGGAACCTGTGGATGGGACGGAATTAGAGCTGGGCACCTCACAGGGCTCCAGCCTCCTGCCTGTTATCCTCAGAGTGGGCTCAGTAAAAGATCTCACCTTGCCGGGGTCAATGCTCTCRATGAGTCTCTCCAGTGAGGGCATCCAGCTGGGGGCCAGGTGGCAGTTCTGGAAGAAGACCCAGTTGCCCTGCTCCATGGCATTGTGCAACATGGCTTCAGCACGGGGGCCCTGCAGAGGCAGAAAGGGGGAGCTCAGGACCCTGTCCCATGTCTCCTGCTGAGCTGGACAGGGAGGCAGCTCCCTGGAGTTGGGTGGAAGGACCACTGTCCAGAGCTACAGCCTGGCCTTTCCCCCATGGCTCAGCTGGATCTTTGCTCTTTGATGGCACAGCAAAGGTTTTTTACTGCTTTTATGAGCCTGTGAGGAATGGTGGAGGGAACAGAAGAATTGCAGATGGATTCAGGAAATTAGAGAGCACGTAGTGGGAGCTGCTGCAGCTCCCAGCCCAAGGGGATAGAAGCAGCAGGCTGGTGAGTAAGGGCCCTGAGGCATGAGGGTGTTTTCACAGTGCTACAAGTGTTTGGCCGACTTGAAGCTTGGTGAGATTGATCTGAGTGCCAGGAAACTGTTGTCCCAGGTATGYATTGACAGCTCACCTGTCCTTGGCCCAGAGAAATGGCGGAGAGCTTTTGTGTGAACTTCATTTCTTCAGCAAACTTGTAGAGGTCAGCAGCGGGGTCAGTRCCCGGGGACAGCACGAACACCAGGGGGGTCAAAGCAGTGGAATCTTTAAACACGACTGAGAGGTCAGTGGTCTGCAAAAGAGTTGGTCAGAGTGGAGGGGCCATAGTGGAACCATGCAGCAYCTCCTCATCCTTCCTGGCCTCCAGCTCCACTCCAAGGCACCAGCAGCCTCTCGAGTGCCAAGGCCAGGAACACGTTCGATGAGGACCATGTACAGCTCTCCTCCAGCTGCACTAGGGTCAGGGCATGCACCACTTTCCCATTTGTCATTTGAACTCTTCCCTTGTACATCTGACCTATCTGCTCCCTCCCAGTGTGGTTTAATGTTAGAAAGGACATTAAAAAGGCTATCCCTTTCTAGTATTTTTCCATATATAAAAATATAGGATTTYTCCAGCTGTGGAAGGAACACTGTGGCTGCAGAGGGGCACGAGCACCTCACTGCAATTGGAAAATGCTGGTGGCCCAGTATCACAAGCTTGAGGCTCCTGCTCCACTCCTTGGACTCTCCAGCATCATCTCTTGGCTGCTTACCTGTGGCTCAATGAAGCGCTGATCCAGTTTCAGCACCACGAAGTCCTGCATGGCGTTGGTGATCTTGTCTCCACGCAGACACCGCAGAACCAGCAGCTTCTGGAARGCATCAAGCCCATCTTCCCACTTCCCAGGCAGAAGTTCTCTGCAAAGAAATTAGGTGCATCTTGGGGGGATGTGCCAGATCCCGTGTGGCACAASAAGTACCCAAGTTGCCTGCAGGCAGCCATGGGAGCTTCATAAGGGACAAGAACCTTCCAGTCCCTTGGCTGAGGTTATTGTCTGCAATTCTGAAACCAGCAGCAGGCAAGGCAGAACTGCTTCCACTCGGGAAGCAGCAAATRCTGCTGGGATAAGGCATTGTATGGCTCTGCCCTGGACAAGCAGTGGTCACCCCTGAGAAGACAAGCCAGTGCCACATCCTTTTCCTTGAGTGGCACTATACTGGGAGCAGAGATGGCAATGTTGCTCCTCTTGCTTTCCCAGGGACCAGACTGACAAAGCAGGGGACACTTGCCTGTGAGGGCTGGGGCTGTCAAAAATGGTCCTGAACCCTTCWAGGTTGGCTGCAAAATCGTTGTCAAAGTTGGAGAAATTCTTCAGGCAGCTCAAAGCCAGGATGTCTCCCCATGCTCTCTCGTTTAGCCAGGATGGAGCTGGGTTGTCCTTCATCTCCTTTATGGCCCCTCCTGACAGCAGGTACCGCCACTCATCCTGGGAACAGGATGTGATTTGGTCATGGATAACAGCCTACCCACCTGAGCCCAAGGTACATGGTGCCATATCCAATTAAAATCCTGTAGAGTCTTTCTGGCTGCTCTCCTGCCAGGTGTGTGTGTGTCACAGAGCAAGTGAGCTCTGTGAGATCAACATAGTGACTGCTGAGCTGCCGCTCTCTAACCCCTGCCTGCTCCCTCTGGACTCATTAACTCTTGCAGCAGTCTGGCAGCAAACTGGCAAAAGCTGCAGGTGATTCAGGCTAGGCAGCTCTGTATGTAGACATGGACAACAGTCGGAGAGCTGAATAAAGACAGAGGCCCTATGTTTGCCCTGCCAAGCCTGCCAAGCCTGCCAAGCCTGCCAAGCCTGTCCCTAACCACAGAACACAAGGCTCCTTTTCCACCCACCACATTATTCTAGAGGCTGATCAGGCTGTGCTTGAGCTGCTCTGATGGGATCCCATCAAGGACTAGGGTGACTTGCTCACCATATCGATCTGSCCCTCATTCATCAGAATGCGGACGCTGACGAGGAAGGCAAACATGAGCTTGTGCTTCTCRAAGAGGCTGCGGCACACGTTGCAGTAGAGGCTGAAGGTGATGTAGTTGTTGATGTTCTCCACCCGCTCTGACAGCACCTCTGGAAAAAAGGCAACAACCAGACACAGGTGGTGGGTACCATAGGAGAAGGGCTCTCCATGTCAGCTCTGTGCTCCTGGTCACAGAGGCACAGCCACAGCCACAGATGCTGCTCTCACACACAGAGCTGGCACAGATGTGGGTGAGGAAGAGGATAGGAGGGGGCTGTTTGGGGCAGGCACCTGCTTTCTCAGAGTTACGGATCCCCAAGAGGAAGATGTTGAGGAACCACTCGAGWGAATACTGGTACATGGGGTCCACGTTGGACAGGTCTGAGACACAGAARTAGAGGATCTGCGAGCGGACAGCCACGGGCACATACTCCATGCGGGTGATGTTGATGTCCTTCTCTGTCTGCTCTGCCACYGCGACCTTGGCCTGAAGGACAGAAGAGATGCCTTGGTTAGAGGAGTGCTGGCAGGGGATGCATAGCTGTAGGGCGAGAGCACCTTCCTCCTCTGACCTGGATCTCTCCTGCCTTCAGCTTGGATGCCTCCAACACTTTGATGAGCTCTAAGTCATCTACAGGGTTTCCTTCAGAAGTGCTGAGTCGATACAAGATCTGGTCTTCTATCTCCTTCAGTTCCTGACGCATCTGGGCATTGCTAATAATTAGCTGGTTTCTATCTTCTTCCAAGTCAGGTCGCTCTGCAGCCACCACTTCTCCCAACAGCTGGTCTTCCAAGCCACTACAACAAAAGCCATGGAAGTGAGTGTGGCAGGCAAGGGGGCAACAGGCCTGAGGGTCCGAGGACAGCAAGGAATGAGGCTGAGCAGCATGGGCAACTAATGGGGTAAAAGCAGGTACCTGGGTGAGAGGGTGAAGTTGATGAGGGTGAGCTTTGTGGAGACCTCAGGGCTGTAGTGAGGGTTGGGCAGTTTGGTGGTGATGTACATCTTGAAATCCTCATGGTAGGGGATCACTGTATCGCCCAGCTTCATCACGGTGTTGCCTTGCTGTTTGAAGGTCTGTACCGGAGWGGACAAATACAGGAAGGCTGGGATGGCTACCTCTTGTGAGGCAAGGCATCCTGCTGTGCCCTGGACTCTGCAGTGAGGAGAGAGTCTCAAGGCTCTCAGGTCAGAGGAGCTCCCAGCTGCCCCACAGAACTGAAGGCCTGAACCTGAATCCAGCAGTTGTATTTAATGGCCCTGCCTCCAGGCAGAGATAGCTGCTGGCAGAAAACCAGCATGTGTGGCAGTCAGTGTGCTAGAGTCCTGCCAAGGCATGGGACTCACTCCCATGAGAGTTCTGCCTGTCCAGGGACACCTACAAACACACCACACCCCATGGCACCCTGGCCAGATGGCCCTTACAGCTCAGCCAGGTACCCACTGCCCTCCCTGCCAAGGTGAGACACAGGACCTCTTTCAGCAGGACAGGCTCAAGGACTGGATCCAGCTCCTCGCCCACGTTCTCCAGCAGGAAGGGCTTCCCAAAGGTAATGGTGTTTTCCAGAGTGGAGAGRAAGTCCCGGTCACTCAGCTTGGCCACCTCCAGGCTGTTCTCCCTCTCCTGAAAGGCAGCAGGGGAGGGCAGGGTTCCTGTGGTRTCCTGCCCCCTTCACAACCAGCTCTGGTGCACAGTACACCTCTCACTGGACTGATTTAGCTCCCTGGGACAGCAGAAATAATATCTTTTCATGCTCAACTAGAMTTTGGCTATTTTGGCAAATTTATCCCACATCAGCAGGTACTAGAGACAGATCAATGATGCAGCAGAAGAAGTGGGAAATGSAGACAACCCCCTTCACAGAGCCAAATCCCTCTGGAGTCCCACGCTGCTAACTCAGGGCAGAGCCTGCAAAATGAGAGCACGTGGGTGGGAAAAGCCCTCAGGGGGAAAAACAGAAGCAGCTGCCTGAGCCTCCTGCCTGATCCYTCAAAAGGGCAGTAAGTGCCTCTCTGGAGCACAGGTGCTGATCAGTGTTCCCAGTGCTTCAGCAGCAGGGATTGTGCTCACCAGAGAGGTAAGGCCACTCTGATCCTCTCTGTTTTAGGGACTTGGAAACCCCTTATGGGAGGYGTTGGTCTGTGTGGTGAAAGATGTGAGGCTCCCAGAAAGTTAGTGGGAGAGTGGGATGTTAGAGCCAGAGTGGGAATCTGATGCCTCATTTGCTTATGTTGGGGTTACTCCTGCCATGCGCTTCGCTCCCTGAATAGGGAAATCCACCTGGGATGAATGTGGATGTAGAGCCTGCCTGGGCTGGGGCAGTGTGGAGTTCTGCAGCTCTAGAGCCCAAAGCCTGAGGTTGTTCTGCACAGCTCCTGAGAGAAAGCTGTTTCCCTGTCCTGGCAGACCTGKCTTTCCTCCCCATAGCCCTTACCAGATTCTTGATCCACTTGTTTGCTTGTCCCTGTGGGTCTATGTAGTGATTCCAGCGCAGAGAGTATCGGGTTATTACTCCATTTTCCACAGACAGGGCATCATTGGGTAAACCAGCAATCTAACAAGGTAGAAAACATTATTGGGACACCKGGTAGCACACATGGGTGACCAGAGAGAAGCCCTTTGTGCCCTGGCCCCCAAGTGCTCCCAGTGGGTGGACAGGGGATGGTGATGAAAATACATCTGCCAGCAGCTGAGTATGGGGGAATGGGAATGGGGCTGTGCTGTGGGGTCAGGCTTGAGCAGGCAATGGCCAGAGCTTGGCTGGGGTTTGTAAAGGACAAGCCTCACAGGTCAAGGCTGATGCCCTCATTGTTGCTGTTTGCTGCTGCCCAGCCTGGCAGCAATTCCAGCTCTACAGTGTGGATCCACACTTGATTATTATCTAGCTGCTTGTCCTTTGGTGCAGGTGATCCTAGTGAGTGGTGAGCTGAGTGTTTTAGTCTTTCCCCGAAGCTGCTTCTTTCTTAAGTATTGTTTGGTTTGTGGTTTTTTTTGCAACTTGCCTGCCAGGAGCGGATTTCCACAGGGTCTCCAAGGGTGCTGATGAGGGTTGCCTCCTTGCTGTGAGGAATGTTGTTTTCAGAGAGATCCTTCATCCACTCTGTGGACAGTGCCTGACGGTAGTCTCCCTGTCACAAGAAACACCATCAGAGCTTTTCTTTAAGTTGCAGCTGGTCTGCTGTGAACATCTGGCAYGAGTGGAGAGAGATCCTGGAGGTATCTCGCACCCTTGTGTCTTGTTCCTTTCTCCTGGCCAGGACAGCAGAGCTGCAAACCGAGTGCCTTACAGGGAACATTCAYACTTACTGTGAAAGGGCCCAGGTAGGCCACAAAGCCAGCAGCAACCAGCACATCCCCAGAGCTGTTTTTGATCTTGTCATCCAGGCTCTCCACAGTGTCCTGCCAGCGCACCTTCTCATCAGCCAGGCTATTGATGAGCTGTGGGATAAATTGCACACGTGAGAGCTGCTGTGTGGTCTAACCTTGTGTCCTAGACCTGCTGCTCTCTGCGTAATGCCCCTGTCATATTCTGAATTCTGTTCCTGGCTTTGAGCACTTAATGGGCTGCTCTCAGATGTCCTGGAGACCCATTGCTAGCTGAAGATCCTGTGCACAGGAGCGTAGCAGCTTTTCATATCAGTGCCTGGCTAGCTTAGCTTTCCAGTCCTGTTGAGCTGCTGAGATTAGGCCAGGCAGATTCAGCCTAAAATTGTCATGAGGTGCAAGCAAAGGAATGTTTTCACTACTGTGCTGAAATTGGGTTACCTCACATAAGCAGGCAAAACCCAGCTCTGTTCCTTACCACATCGGCACGGGCCAATCTCTGCAGACACTGCTCACACTTCATCTCCAGCTCCTCCTTGTTGGCTTTGCAGGCCTCGTACTTGGCTTGCAGCATGGCAATGCCATCTTCAACCGCCTTCAGGCGTTGCTTAGCTTCATCAAGGACCTTCTGAGTGGCACGCAGGTCCGCCTCTGCCTCCCGGAAGGCTTGCTGAGGACAYGCACAAGGAAACAGTCAGTATGCTGGGCATGTGGTCAGGCTCTTCCCCCAAAGACCAGAGACCTCGGAACAAGAGCYGGTTTTCCATAAAAGTGCCCGCTGATAAGCTACTGCTATCTCAGTATCTCAGTCAATTCAATCCCTGGTTGACAGACATTACATCCTGACCTGCAGAACGTGGTGATTCCCAGCATCTCCTACAGAAGGAAGCTGCTAGGACTGTGTTCCTGAACACCTAAATCAGCTGGGTCACAGTCTCTTACCCGCTTGGGCTCCACGACCTTGGACACAAAGTGGTACTTGTGCATGGCGCGCACCCACTGGCAGATGGAGGTACAGGCTTTGGAGACCTTGGCGATGGCAGCTGGCTGGAACTCCTCGTTGTCAATGTAGGGCTGGATAGCCTTGATCACACTGTCTGGAATATTGTCCTGCAAAGAATGGTGGGAGAGAGAGACTTTCCTCAGTCTGATCTCTAGCACGCTCATCACTGATCTCTTAAGGGCTTCCCCCAGAGACAGCAGCACCCCAGGACTTGACAGGGTTGTTAAGGTATCACATTGGAGCAAGAGGAATTGCTGCCATGTTGAAGTCTGGCAGCCACACCTGTGGAATTGGGTAAATCCCTTACCATACCCCCTCCATCCAGCTCCTCCCCACAAAAGAGCAGGGGAGCAGATGTGAAGACCTGTGTGTTGAAGTCCCATTGCCCAAAGCAATGAAGTACACCCAATATGCCTGGAGGAGACACGAGGACTTCCATACCAAATATACCCTCATCCTCGGTGCCGCTGAAGGGTGTTGCCCCAAGGAGCTCAACTTGTTACTGGTGTGAGAAGGATTGCTGTGAGGCAATACCTGATCCCAGTCACWGCCTCCTTCTGCCACTGCTTACCTTATCATAATCGTACAGGCTGGACAGGAACTGCACTGGGTCCTGGAGAAGGGCCCTGCCTGGCTCCCAGTAATCATCCACCTTGGTGCCTATCTTTTCTCCTGCCACCTTTTTGGGCTTTTTCCCATGCATAATGCAGACAGCTTCAATCACAATCTTCACACCAGGAGGAGGCCGCTGTAGGGCTCGTACCTGAGAAACACAAATGGAAGCAGTGGCTTAACTTGGTTCTCTGGAGATGGGGTGCTCTTCCCTCTCTCAGCTGAACTGGGGAGACTGGGACCACAGGTAGGACACTGAGAGGATGCAATACACAGGTAGGAACGACACAGGTATTTGAAGGGAAAGCTGGTTATCAGAAAGGGCATGGAACAAACTAAATGTAGGCTAAAAAAGTCTGCCCTGTTACTCTGACAGCTGTGTCCCTATGGGTTGAAAATATCTTGGCAAAGGAGCTAAATATTTATGGCCCCAGGAAAARGGCTGCATGGAAGTGGGACACAGGCAGCCTTTCTCATTTGTTTTATGGGCTCTGATCTGTCTCGTACCCCACCACAGCAATGCCACACCCCATGAGCTAGTCTTCAGCACTTGTGGAGGGACTGCTTGAGTTTCCCCTCAAGCAGGCACCTAGGAGTGCTGCTGCAGCACCTTAGAGATGACTGTGGGTGTCAGGACCTCTGAGGATGACTCCTGCTTTTTTCTTCTAGTGCTGACCACCCTTGTCATGTTCAGTTGGAGACACTCTCAGGCCTTCCCAYTGGACACTGTCAACAGAGCAGCGGTGTTTATGGCAACACTGAGGCTGATCTACCCCCATGCAGACACCCTCTGTGAGAAGGACTTTGAGTGGCTCTTTGACTGCCCTAAGGCAAAGCATTTCCTCGAGTGGTTCTGCAGCACRGTGGGTGAGGAGAACATGCTGAGCCCAGCCGAGGTGGAGGCCTACGAGGCCCTGCTGGCTGCAGGCAAACCCATCTTGGAAGGCAAAGCCCTGGAGGAGGCCCTACGGATGTGCTGCCACGTCCCACAGCTCCCGAGCATGATAGGGGATGAGGGGCCCTCTCAAGAGGCCCTGCWGCAGGAGCTTCAGGAGCTGAAGGAATATCGTGACTGTCAGTTCTGGAGGTACAGGAAGCTGCTGGATTGGATGCACAAGCTGCAGAAGGAGCAGAAGTATTTGGAGGAGGAGGAGAAAGTAGTGAAGCAGGACTTGAGAATGGCTCATATGGATCTGAAAGAGAAGATCTTCAGAACCAGAGCTGTCTTGAACCAGGTTAGTGAGGCTCCAAAGCAGGTGTCGGAATGTCATGACAACATGGGGCTGGGCCAGCTGCCAACACTGCTGTGCCAGACAGATCTTGGCCCTTACCTGCAGCAAGAACAACAGGCCACTGAAGCATTTGAGAGGTTCATCCAGCAGGTCCTACCAGAGAGTGTCCAGGGTCCAGATGCTTGGGAAGTGAGTGCACAGGGAGAGAGAAGCCTGAAGGAAAGGCTGGAGGCTGGGACACAGATGTACTCATACCGTGAAATGCCAGAAGAAACAAGAGGAGCTCCTTATCAAGAACGTACAAAGACACCATGGAGGGTGGCACCAGCAAGCTGGGGAATGTTGATCCAAGGCTCAAAGGAAGAGCTGCTAGTGGAGGAGGGTAATGAGAGAGAGGTGTTGAGCATGGAGAGTGAGGAAGAGAGAGATGGCAGCCAGGAAGTCACAGAGAAAATGGGCACCAAGAAAACGTCAACACCAAAAGGCCTTGGGACTGATGAAGATGAGCTGCGGGAGGACCAAGAGAGCTACTGGAAGGAGCTGGGCCGAATACAGACAGCACATATCTGTGCCCGGAGGGAGGTTATAGTCACGGCAGCAAAAGTAGAAGGCACCCGTGCTGCACTGGARTGGGCCCAGAGGACTCTGAAAGCTCTTGAGGATAACCAGGTAGGGCCAGTTCCCCCRTTCCTCCACCATCCTTTGTGGCAGGATGAGCACAGCTGACACGCTGGGAGGGGGTGGCAGAGCCGGGTAGCAGTGTCAGCAGCCTGTCTTGTGTCCCCCCACAGCAGGCRGTCGAGGCCCAGCTCCAGAGCCAGGCTGCYGTGCTCCAGAGGCAGCTCCACACCCTGCGGTTCAACATCGAGCASGCTCTGACCCACCAGCTGCTGCCCYTGCTGAAGGCAGAGGCTCGCCGCTTTTGCCTGCCCATCGTGCACAAGCACTTCAGCCTGGAAGCTGCCCGCCTCCAGAACACGGCCAGGGGGCAGGAGSAGGCGGCTGCGTGGCTGCTGAGCCAGCACAGCCGCCTGGACCTGCTGGAGCTCCAGCTCAAAYGGGAGAGAAAGGAGCTGCAACAGAAGGTGGCTTGGCTGGAGAAGATTGAAACAATCAAGAGACAATCCCAGAGCAGATTGCAGGAGCAGCGGAACTACTTCAGAGATGCCAGGTCCTCCCAGAAGGGTCATCTGTACAAATGGATAGACCCCAAAGACCGCACTGCTATACGGTAAGGGCCTGGGGGGTCTGAGCATGAAGAACAAACTAGGTGTGGGGACAGTGGCATGGGAATGGCTGAGGTAGGCAGCAGACCCAAGCTACCAKATAGCTCAGCAGTGTTCTTCTGCCAGCACAGAGCCACTGTGACTCCACGGTGGTATGAAATTCTCCAGATCTGATTCCTCCTGGCTGGCTTGAACTGATGAAGCCAAGGATGGACTTGGAGAATGGAATGAATACAAAGAGCTGGGCCACAAGGAAGCACAAGCTGCTTAGAGCAAGACCTTTCTCTTCTCTTGCATTGCCTGGGTATTCTCAGTCTTCCACACAGTTTTGGAGTAGCTGGTGCTGGTGTCTGCCAAAAAGAAATCACACACTGGCTCAAGAGCCAGCCTGGGCCTTTACAGTGATCTTCTAGAGCTCCATGAAAATGGGATGYTCACCAGGAGTGGCTGTCTTCTCACTGCTGACCCACATCTGCTTGCATCCCAGTCTCACAGTGCACAATCAGGTCAGAGCCCTGTCCTTCCTCAGCACTGGTGCTGTACTCACAGCTTTGACTGTCCCCTCTCACAGGCTCTGGGACATGCTGYTGGGGAAAGATCAGGCAAAGCAGCCCTTCCGCAGCTATGAGGCCATGGCAGCCAAGTGCTCCCAGCTGGTTCAGGAGCAAATGGCACTGGAAGCCCAGCTGGAAGCTCCTATGCCCCAGGTGTCTGCCCTGGAGTCCTCCATAGAGGTGCTCTACCACCAGCTGTACAACAGCTCCAACCAGCTGCAGCTCTCCTCGCCGGTAAGGAAGCACTCCTGCTCCCCTGGGCTTTGCTGGGCAACAGGTGAGCACAGGGAGCCCTCTGCCATCCTCCCTGKGTGCAGAGGGGAGAACTCACTTCCTCTCAGCCACAGAGGAAGGGGACATTGGCCTGATCCTTGCCTTGTCCCATCCAGTGACACAGTGGCTGGCAAGAGGGCAAAGGTGATTGTCTCTGTGTCTCACATGGGCTGTCAGCRTTGAGACTGGGGTGCCTCAGCCAAGGTGTCCCCATAAGCCCCTCTGCTCCTTTTACTGGGAGGGTTTGGAGGCCAGAACTGGGTGGGTAGTTTGTTTCTGGGGAGCTGAGCTGTTCCACAGGTATGAGGAAAATCCCGTTATTTCTCCATGTTCACGTGAGTTTGGGCTGTTCCTTAGGAGATCACTGAGCTGATGCAGCAATTGGCCACCATGCAGGATGACCTCTACCAAAAGCTGACAGACCTCCTGAGCGACTTGGAGGTCAAGCGCAGRTCTCTGGAGGACCCCATCCTGCAGGCAGAGCGCAACCTTTATGTGTATTTTCACTGCAGTGAGGATCGGCTGAGAGAGGTGGTGGAGGARCTGGAGAAGCAGGCATCAGCTTCCTCCAAGGGACCCCTGAGGGAGCTGCCCTATGGGAAGGAGTAGGTCAAAGGGATCTTCGCTCTCTGCCATACAGTGATGTCCTCGTTGGGTTGGGTTCTTAATCCTGGACTGGAGAGAACTCTGGTGGTCTCTGCTCCAGTGACAGGTTACTTGGGTCATAACCTGGCAGCTGGGTTTAAAAGAAATTGGGAGCTTATTCCTTAAATACAGAGTTTCTGGGGGCTGATTTAGACAATGTGTAAGAAATGGATGCATCTTGCAGCATTGGAAGCCTKGGATAGACATGACACTTCTCATGCCAGCTCTGTATGAGGATGGGTGCTGGGGGCAAGTGGACCAATAGTGTCTTTCCCCACTTTCTGAGGAAAGGGAGTTTGTATGTTTTTGGGAGAATAAAAGGGTCTGTTACTCACAACTGCAGAGCAATAAGCCTGTCCCTGTGTGGTGAAATCTGTACTTATTAAATGTGCTCTCTTGGCTAAGGGCTGTGATGCTTGCASGCTCAGAATCACCCTGTTTTCTCTCACTAGCCCATTGCAAGCTAGTATTCCTTGAATTCAGCCTTCTGCCYCTCCTCTGCCTGTGCTGGATCTCTCTTTAAAGAGCCTGTAGGTTCAGTGTGCTGCCAGCTCTGTCCCAGTGCTGCACAATCAGTACGTGGGGCTGTGAGGTGGTACCTGCTGCCTACCCACATGGACAGGCACAAGGGCTGAGCCCTCCTCCACAGCCTCTCCAGGACAAGCTGGAAACACACAAAGAGTCACTGCCCTTTCTGCTCTTCAACCTCTGCATCTGAAGGAGTGAAGGTGAGAAGCTGCTGAGCAGCTGCCCAGAGTGAKCCCAGGGGGATGGGTGGAGGAGAAGGCAGGGGACACTGCAAGCCTATTGAAGGGGAATTGCTGTAAAGGGAGAGGCTGTCCTTGACCAGACCCAGCTCTGCCACCCTCTCCCTTGACACAGTTACCTCTGTAACATCATTTCTGTTGAGGTTCTTCAGGCTGGCAAGAGCAGCATCCAGGGCTGGAAGGGCTTCAGCCAAGTCCTTCTGAGCATCGTCTGCAATGGCTTGGGCTTTCTGAGCTTTCTCATTGGCCTTCATCTCCTCAGCCTGCACAGCACTTCTTGTCTTTTCAGCCACAGCTGTGTCCACCTGCAACACCAGACACAGCCTTAGAAGMATGCTGGAGGTACAGCTTGGCTAGGAAAGGATCACAGCACTCCTGGCAGGTTGTGTGTCTTATTCTAGCAGACCTCAGGTACCTAACTGCTGAAGGGGATGCCCTTTCTGTACCACACTGGGAGAAAGTTTATGTCAGCCTGGATAAACCATCCACAGGCTTCAGCTCTGGCTGTGCCTGGAACAATGTTACTCTTGCAGGAAATAGCTGCTCTACCAYTTTCCTCTTGGCACAAGTAGAGCATGCATAGGGCTGCAAATGTGTAGGGAGATGGAGGAAGATATGCTCAGGGGTTTGTTTTTAAAACTGACACTTCTGCCTGCCCCTAGGGTTAAAACATTGCCAGGAGGCATAAAGGAAATTTGGAATAGAGCCAAGTCTTATCTCCTATGTGGGAACTTAGGAGATTGCAGACTCTTTCCTCTCMGCATTCAGAGCTGTCCTGTCATCATGTTACTGTCCCTGTTCACTCTGTCCAAGTGACAGTACTGTCAGACTGTACTCTGGCCATCCCACAGTAGGAGATGGGCAGGGAGCAACACAAGGGGAGAAAGCAGCGACAGCCAACACAGAGCAGTTCTCTCTTCTGAAGTGGCATGAGTGACTGTGTGATGATTCCTAAGGTCTGGGCTTGTGGGGAAGGCTGCAGCTGGATTAGTTCCCCGGGGATGGGATGTGGGGCAATGATCCTATTCAACAACTGTCTGGCTTAAGCTGCTCAGGCCATCTGAGGGTTGTGTAAGTGTTGCTAGACTGGGCTTGCAAGAGCATGGGAGCTTGACTGACTGACCCCTGGGTGGTGGTTTCTGAGGGAAGCACAGCAGGCATTGCTTCTGCAACAACTGGTGCTCACCAGCAGCAGAGCAGTGCCCCAGCAGGAGGCAGTTTCTGCTGCCAGTGCAGCTCTGCACAAGTGTCTGCTGTGCCAGTCGGAGGTGTTTTTACCTCMGATGAAGCAGCATATTGCACAAACCCTGCCAGGCCCCTGTTTGCCCAGTCCAGTCGGAGCAGTCAGAGCTAGAAAGTGCAGGGCTGCCCAGCAGTCATACCTTCAGCTGTTCTATGGTTGCCTCGGTGTCCTTGGCTGCCTGTGCCAGGAGAGGGCGGGAGGACTCCAACTCCTCCTGCATCTTTGCTACATCCTCTGCTGTTCGCAGGAGCTGTGGGAGCAAAGCAGAGTGAGAGAGGAGGGGCAGCAGCCATGGAAAGCCCCAGGAAAAGGCTGTGCTGCCCTGGAGGGTGCTCCCTGGCCAGTGTTGGGCTGTGCAAAGCAGTTCTTGCCCTGGTCCCTGCTTAAGCAGCAATCTGACACTCTGGTGTGCTTATAAACACCTAATTGTACCTGCACATGTTGGGCACTACTTCATAAAGTAATGGTAATCAGGCAGCAGAATAGTGTTTCTTTTAGAGGATTTTCAATTACAAGGTTACTAAGAAACATCCTGAGAGATGAGCTGCACAGAGGTCCGTGGTCCTCAAAGACTGAAGATCATTATTCTTTTAGAGCTGTTACAGACTCAGACCTTCAGTAAGACTGGCAGAAGGCACAGTTCTCACTTGCTTTAGCCTGAGTTTTTTGCTGTTACACAGGACTTRTGTAGGACATCTCACTGCATCTCAGCAGCTGTAAATACACTKCTCAGAGTGGGTAAGGGGGTGGCCCTAAAGCTTTCCTGGGTGTGAGGGACAAACCTTGTCCAGGCCACCCTGCATTCTGTTCTTGGCTGTCTTCAGATCCTGTTGCTTCTTTCCAATGAGGGAACTGAAGATGTTGAGGAACTCCAGGTAGCTTTTGGGAGTGATGTAATTGTGTCTGCCCAGYTCTGCTAGGAACAATTGGCACTTCTTTGCCACACTCTGGTGGATTGCTACACATACTTGAATCTACAAGGAGAAAGGAAAGAAACAATCTTGTTAATTACTARAAATGTGAAAGACAAATCTATGCGATGCTCAGAGAGAATAAAAAGGGCTTACGAAGAGCCAAAGTATAGAATCACAGCAGAGCTTATGTCTGTATGTGGGCTTCAGTGCCACAGAGGGGTGACAAATGGCCAAACCTGTTTCAAGGCATACAAAAGCTATGCAGTTCTGCATTTGAATGACTCTGCCATGGAGTATTTCTCTTACAGGGTAGGACAGTTCTGAAGGTGTGCCCTGCATCTGTTGTCTTGGTGTATCTAGGGACACTGCACACTGAACGTGCAGCAGCAGAGCATTCTCRAGGGTGGCACCTACCATCCCTTCGAAATCTTCATTACCGCTACCAAGAAGTGGGATTTCACCCAGGATGGAGGAGGCAACATTCTGCAAGGCTTCAGCAGGCCACTCATTGAACCAGTCAATGGTACAGCAGTTCACAAGTGAGGGGAACTGCCTCAAGCGTGCACGGAACACTTCTCCAATCGGGCTGAGGGCAAAGCATGCAGAGAATATGAGTTAGAACCGGCTCTAAATACAAGGACAAAATAGCTTTCCTTCCACAGAACCACCCTGAAGCCTTGAGGAATAAGAGGGACAGGAGTACACCCAGGGAAGAAGGAAAAACAGGAATTAAAGTTCAGGCAGTGAGCTGCATGCCCAAAGGCACACATCTGAGCTTATTCCTTGGGATATTCTGGAAGTATGAAGATGGTAAGAGGGTGATGTTTTATGGGTCCCTCCTTTAAGGGATAAAAAATAAATGTGTTCTGAAGTTTCTTTCACGCAGGTGGGTGCAGAGATGATATCACCAAACCAGAACCATGGCCCTGATTTTTCTGCTCGTTCTTGCACTGAGAATGCCTTGTACCTTCTGGTATCCCTTCTGCAAGGGAGCAAGCTGCTTATGGACTATGCGTTAGATTAATTGGAGCAACTGAGCCCCAAATTCAAGCTAGATATGTCTGTAACAAATGCCTCAATGGTGCATGAAGGAGGAGGTACTTTGTATTTCATCTGAATCACACAAAATCATACACTTGAAAATTTCAACTTCATCTTGAGAACAGCAAAGTGTTAAAGAAAAAGTAGGTAGTCCTAGGGGGAGGTGTTATGCAAAATATATTCCTATTCTTCCTCCTCTTCCGAAGTCTGGGGCTTGGAAATAAAGATCCCATTACACAGTGATGCAAGGCAAAGGATAAGGAGGGAATAATTAACATTTAAAGCATGGAGTCATAGGCCTGAAGTGTACCTCATGCACAGGACCATGTGGATATTGCTGCGAACCCGTGCTGTGTATGCAGCCATCAGGTTGGCCTTGGTGGGCTGCTGCCCTAGATCTCGAACAATAGGCTTCATAGCAGTCAGGATCTGGTCTTCATCCTCAGGATTGTAAATGTTAGGAATGTCACCAGAGTTAAGCAAGTTGTTGATATCTTCGAGGAAGGATTCACTTTTAATCTAAGTAGATGATAAGTAAAAAAAAAAAACAAAAACAAACAGTTTCTTAAGTCAGAAAACGTCATGTTTCATGTGCCATAGAGATAATTTCTCCATACATACAGCCCTCAGCCTTTGTTATAAGAAACCATTTCTGTGATTACTTGTCTCCAGAAAGGCACTCCTGATTCTTGTCCAGCATTTCAAATTAAACAGCCACGTTCAGCCATGTCAGGGCTGGGAGGATGTATCTGAGAACAAACCTCCTTCTGCCCATTCCCTGTCTCCTTACAGACAAATTGAACTCAGGCTCTTGCTCCCTGCCTCTGCAGTCAGACCCCAGACACCTGCTTGCTCCAGGTCTTCATTCCTCCAGCACAGAACACTTCATCATTAAAAAAAAGCTTATCAATGTGGGAGACAGAGTAATTGTAGGGATGTGTCACAGTCTGTGGGACGATCTCCCTCCAGCGCTACACTCACCTCTCCACCTTTGCTAAATCAGAAACACACAACATCCATCTCCTTGACTAAATGCACCCTCCTGGGCCCCTTTGCTCCCACATATGCTCTTCATTGCAGGGAAAAGGCTGCAAGAACAAGTGGCATTTGACTGATGCTCATCTCACTGCTTAGGGCTCTGCCACAAGGGAATGGTTCCTATGATAATGAAGGCAGTAAAAAAGCCTATGGGGAGCATATTTRGAATTCCAGAAGTGGAAATTGGCCTAGTCATTAGCAAGTTACAGTTTACAGTTACAAGCCAACATTACCCTGTGGAATCAGCAAGTGTAAGGTCCTAAATCTACTCTATTTTTGAAAAGAAAAAGCATCATTTTACTTAGGAATTCTAGTATCAGTTACTTAGGAATTCTAGTATCAGTGGCCAACATAAGTGCTTAGCTTCAGATAGCTAAAATCTATGTACCCACCAAACACTTGGATGGAGCTGAAAAAAGCTTCCTTGAGCAAGAGAAGAATCCACCCACCCACACAGCTCTACAGACCCTCTAGCAATATATGCACCACCTCTAGTTTCCCTGAGGCTCTTTTATAAGATGATGAATGTAGGCCACTGAAGAAATACAAGTTGTGTCTGGTTTGTGTCAAGCTCCTTCATTACCTGTAGGGGAATTTATTGAGCTTAGAGATGTGTTTCTGACTCCTTTTGAGATGGAATCTACCATGCTAATACTCCTGTACCTGAGTGTCTACAAATAGGAAYGTCTTGGGTAGACTCTGAAGGCCTGCCTTCATCATGATCTTCCTCACATCATCTCGCCATTCAATCATGCCATAATTTTTGGACAGTTCAATCTGGAAACATTCATTTTCTGCCCTAAAGGAAAGAGAAGTCTGTGGAGTTATATCAAATTTAAATATCCTCTTCTGTCAATTCCTAGTATGTGTTGTGGACTCAAGCRGGGAAAGGACTCAAGCAAGTTGTTTTGCTACAATGAGTCCTGAGCCCATGCTTGTCCTTGTGCACCAAGGACAGCCACCAGCCCAGGAGCATATTCTACACAAAGCAGGGGTATTCTGAGCTAGCTAGAAACCCAGTGCAGATGTGCATGTTAACTGAGTCCTAGCTTTTGACTCATTTGAGGAGTCAGCAGCCACAAAAGCATGTAACCAGCAGTGGGAAGGGCAGTAAAAGAGATTCTCTGAAGGCAGCCCCAGYGGAGCTGCTCCACATTACGTGCATAGGTGGGAGTGCATTACTTACATGTGAGATGCCAGTCTGGTGAGAGACTGTCTCCCACTCCCCCCAACACCCAGGAGAAGAGCATTCCCCGGAGCCTGCCGCAGGATSCGGCTGATTCGGCAGATGTGCTGTATCGCATCCATGAAAAGCACAAGCTTCAGCTCTGGGGTGTTGCTTTGATTGTACTCCTCCAGGTATTCCTCAATCACAAGCTTCAGCTGTGGGTAGAAACATTCAGCTGTGACTACCAGATAAAAGCAATTTTGTGTGTGTGTGGCAGCACAGCCAGGACTAGGGGAAGGCAGAGCCTGGTGCTCAACAGTCTGGGAGCAGCTCTCCTCCATGCTCCTCTAAGGAAGCACCATGGGATGGATGAGCTGAATTTAGCTGGTGGTGGTGGCAGCGGCTGCTGAATGGTGAACTYAAACTAACRAAGTGACTAAGGCTGCTCTTCCCARCAGAGCTGTTTGCCTGGAGAAACGGCAGGGTGTAGATCAAAACAAAAGAACTTAAGGCTGCCTGATCCATACTGCTCCAGGGCCTCCCTCTGGGTTAGTTTCCTTGCTGTATAGCTGACCACTGCCTGCTGCTGAATCATGTGGTTAGGAATCTGGCTGGAAAGCATAGCTGGGGAAGAAAACAACACTGGCTGTAGATGGGTAGAAGAGCACACTCCTCTCCCAGTCCTGCCATCACAYGGAATAGCTTCCCAGGGCTCTCTTTAACAGCACCCTAAGCCCAGAGAAGGAGATGAAGCATGAAGACATCTGGGATTTGATCCTATCCCCTCAGCAATATCACTGTGAAGCTAGGAAAGCAGCACCAGCTGGAATTAATGCAGTGCTGAGATCCCTGCCTAGACACCAAAGTCCTGTGAGCATCAGTCCTGTGTGCAGCTGCCTCTATGCCTGGCTGCCTCAGCTGTGCTYACCTCGGTGGGGGACAGGCCTACCTACTTTGCAAAAGGGATTGGAAAGCTCAGTTAATTACCAGTCCTTGTCACACAGATATCACAAGAGCAGAGACGGCAGAATAATCATCTGTTTCTGATAATGAGTGCAAAACGCACCACTCATTGCCTTTGCTTAATTACCACTACCCAAGTACTCCCAGTATCTTCTCCAACAGGGAKTCTGGCAGTAACATTAATTACTTGTAAAGGTCAATTGTGAAGTCTTTAATGGCAAAAGTAGTATTGTTTGGGGGTAATGTGCCATTTCTTTCCAGCAAATTTCRCTTTTCAGTCCCAAGTGAGGCTCATTTGGGAGATTTGGCAGAGCAGGCTGCCTCCAGGATTGCAATGCAGAGACAGCTTGTTCCACCTCAACTGCCCATCACAACAAATACAACCACTATCCACATATGGGGTAGGATTTCACAGGAAACCCCTGGGAGGGTTTGTGGTTTCAGACACCTCCAATTAAAGCACTGCTATTGTTACTATTACTGTTTTCTTTTGTTTATAGAAGACAGGGAAGATGTGAAACATAGCTCTCAACATGATTCCCAGGGTTCTTACCTTATCCTGGCTGGTGATTTCTTGGTATACTTTGACATCGGCACCTGGATCCATGAAATCTCCAAACAGAACTGGCTGGGTGGGAATGACCACCTCAAAAGTGGTGCCAAAGTCCTCCATCTTCTCCTCCATTAGCTTGTCAAACCAGGTCCGGTCCTCATCGCTGACCAAGCGATCACGGAAGACCCGGCAGCTTTCATGGTACCACAGTCTCAGCAGCTGCTCTTTGCTCTGGTAGGAAATCCCAGCAAAACAGCCCCCGTGAGAGAAGCAGAGAAGTGTTATGAGCATTGCTGTCAGGAAAGCTGGTTCCTGCCCAGCATGTGGCCAGCTCCACTCCTGTTAGAAGGCAGCTGGAGTGGAGAAAGAGCTGGGCGGRGGAAGCTGCTTTCCCTTCTCCTCTCAAAAACAACTCTTGTCAAAACAGCTGCTTTGCAGAGAGCTCATTATAGCTTCAGCTTATCCCCCTCTATTTGTCCATATGTCAGGCTTTCTTTGAGAGATTTCAATTTTATGTTCTTTGTTCTTATGTTTCCCCAGTTTGATTTTATTTTTACAGTTTTCTTGTGTGTTTTTTGAAAGATCCTTTTATTTGTCTGAGCAGAGACAGACACATAGCAGAGAACCTATAGCATTTAGGGTCCTTCCTGTGACAAATCAATCTCTACTGATCAGGCTGGAGCCTGGGTGGCAGGGCTGTGCTGATAGGAGGACTTACCTGGACTGTGCTGGGCTCAGCCATGAGCATGCCCTGGAACACCTTTGAGAGGTCTCTCAGGTTGAAAGTGTAATGTGACTTCGCTGGTGTGGGCAGCAGCTGGGATGTGATGGTCAAATACACGGAGATTGTGGCATCGACTAAGGGCTCGTTTAAGTCTTTTACTGCATCTGCTCCCGCTGCAGAAACAGAACAAGTTGGAGAACGTGTCAAGATGGTGGCTCTGGGCTGAGAAGGTCCTTGCAGTGCAGGAAGTTGGCACTGAGTGGCAGAGGTGCTGGCTAGGACTTGGGCAGGAGCAYACTTTTTTCTGCTTTTTTTCTGCAGAGACTGTGAGGGACCTGACGGAACACCTGCTCACTGCAGTGAACAGCTGCCAATGGGTTTATCAACTAATGTGAACCAGATTTGGGGGTGGAAGAATGCTTTACAGTAATTCTGTGGTGTGAAGATTTCATGCCCCTCAGGAACAGAGGAGGCACTGCCAGACAGGTAATTGATGCCTATCCAAAATATTCCAGAGAGGTTTTCCTTCTCCCTCCTTGCRCTCCCGCAGTGAAATCTCAGCTACTTTTAAGCTAGAAAGTGTGAGTGCCCTCTTAGCTAAACCCCCTGCAATTCATTATGCTCAGCAAATGCAAAGCCACCGAGGAATGATTTCTTATGCAATAGTCTGGCAAGATTTAAACACAGCTGCCAGTTTTAGAGCATAATTATATTTTTTCTCCCAATGAAGTTTATTACAAACACTCCTGGAGAGTGACACCCCAGCATTTTGCACTTTTYTGCATTCTTTCAAAATCCTTTAATTTCTTTCTAAATCACAGCTAGATGTTTCAGTGTGCCCCTGAGATCACAGCCAGGTACTGGTGTTTGTGCATATTGCAAGCACTCAGAAAGCTCTGCTTTGCTTCTCCCATAGCTGTCTGTTCTCACTCCTTTCTACTGGCAGATTTGCAGATGAGGGCAGATTTGCAAAGATGATCCTAAATTCCCACCCTGTCAAGTAAAAGAGGACTCATTTCACTCCAAACAAACCCTTTTTTCATGGTGGCTGTAGCACCATGCTCAGATCCACCCTGCTCAGCTGTCCACAGGCTGCAGCAGATGGAGAGTAACATAAGGCTCTGCTTCCACAGAAGGCTGTTGTCTGGGCAAGTGTCTGTCTGCTGAAAGCACAGGTAAGCTGTGCCATGCTGTGCCCACCAGCTTGTTCTGTTCATGGTCTCTTTCTCTTTCTTACTTACGCACTGGACTTCTGTGACTTTTTTCTCCTAGGAGTCCATCTGGAAAAAGAAAAAAGAGAAAGAGTTTCAGCTTTGCCTTAACCTTGCCYTCCTTAACCTTTGCTGAGGTTAAGACTATCTGTGTCATCCATCACAAGCAAAATCCTCTTTGAAAGGCCCAGGCTATAGAATAACACATGGAACTGTAAAAGACAAAGGTGAAGTTTGCTGATTTGCACCAGCAGAGTCTGGCCTTAAGACTACATAGAGTATGAACTCTCTGTTTGCTAAGCCTCATAAAATACTTTCCCCAAAGCATCTTCAAGCAACTACTGCAAGTTCCAGCTTTCAACACTTYGATCAGATCATCAACATTAATTCCTCCCCTTCCAACCCCCACTGTCATCAGGCTGACTTGCAACATGAGGAGAAGGTGGCAGTTTTCTGCAGGGCTTACCCATCCAGCTGCCAAGGATGGTGGAGAAGATTGTCTTCTTGCTGCTTTCATCCATCTCAGTGAAGGAGAGGTAGTTGAAATGGCGAGTGAGGCGTGGAGTGACAGGATTCCTTCCTCCTCCAGGAGGTCCCATGGCACAGACAAAATTAATATCTACCAGCTTCTTAAAAGTACCTTGGAGAGTGCAAAATCAAGAATGAGTGCTGAGTTRTAGCAAAAAAACCCTCGCCGCAAATCTCCACAGCAGGCACACATATCTRACTGTCCAGCTCCTGCCAAGAGCTCTGGACACGGGATTKGGGACGTACCGATCTGCTTGCGGTCATACCAGCCCTGGTGATCCATGAACTGCCGCAGCAGCTCGATGGGTGGCTGAGCTCCGTACTGCTCCAGCACGGGCATGTTCAAGTCATCAATGAAAAAGATGAAATACCGACCAACTGGAGGCCCGAACACTCCCTTCCGCCTGCAGGGACAGAACCCGTGTCAGGACACAGGACAACTCCTACTCTAAAGCTACTCCTAGCTTGATCAAAAGAATGTTTTTTTTCTCTGGATGCTTCCTGAGTCAGCAGTTTCAGCTGTTTTTACACTTGATACACTCCTTCACAAGAGCCTTTGCATGGAAAATACCTGGAGCAATCTTTGAGGCACTGGCTTGTTTCAAAACATGAGTGAAAATTTTYCTAGTTATGCACAATGCCGAAGAGTAAATGGGTGCAAATAGAAGCAAATCTTGAGCCCATTAAATCTGTTGGAAACTTCAAACCAGGGGCTGACCAGGGAGGTGAAATGGAAGCTGTTGACTGTGGGGAGTGGGATTGTGGGTGGGCAGCCACATTTTCTCCCTTCATCACTTTCTCYAAAGATCCCACACTGGGGTTTACAAACACCTGCGCTGTGAAATGTAGTATTTCTGGAATAACTAGAACTGGAGCAACTTTTACAGACCCTCACTAATCCTTYTCACTTTCTTGCCATTATATGAAGTTATTACTGATCCCAGTTTGGATGTGCTGTGTGTCCTATTTGTTATGCACAGCTTACGTGCTCAGGGCCCCTTCAGGTCTTGGGATGAAATGAATAGCCAAGCTGATAGCAATACTGAGCTCAGGGATACTGCCTTTGCACACACAGAAAGGAATCTTGCCTCTTATCCAGTTTGCTGTCGATGAGGTCCTGGGTTTGGTTAGCAGAGGTGCGTGCTGAAAACATCAGGAAGTGGGTGATGTATTTGTTAGGCAAGTTCTTCAAAAGCTTGTCTGCAATTGTGAGAGTCTTCCCTGTGCCAGTGGGACCAACGCAGAGAATCTGGAAGCACAATCAGCAATGTAGCATAATCATAGGTAAGCAGTCTGTGTTTCCCAGAACTCTAATGTTTGCTGGAGGAAATGCAGGTTACTGCTTGTTTAAGCATTTAAAAGTTGGGAGAGGACTGTTGGGTTTGCTTCTTCAACAAGGTCAGCTGCCCAACACCAAAATTTCTTGGTATGTATGGAATCCAACCAGAGAAGTATGAAATTGTATGAAATGGGACTGTAGGAAACACGTAAACAGAGAGGGTGATGGGCTATCTAGCAATTACTGCATTTTGACTGAACAACTGAGTGTTGATATTCCTTTGGGGTGCTGGCATAGTGCCTGAGGACTGAATGGAGAACTCTCAGTGCTTAAGCACAGATTTGGAGCAGAGAAATACAAATCCATGGGACTGGGAAATAATCTCAAAGCATTAGGTAGCTGTTAAGTTCTGACTGCACTGTGAGAGGAAAAGGTTGAATCAAAAACTCAAAGACAAGGCCGGGCACGTACTGGCTTATAGTTAGTGAGCAACAGCTCCAGCAGATAGGCCATTCGGACTGTGTTTATCGTGGGCACAATAATGTCACAGAAGTTGGTGTCTGGAACCATGGTGAACTCCGCTGTAGCATCCAGCCACACCTCCCAGTGCACCTGAAAGATTGAAATCTGCTTAGAGGGGGCAGTTGCATCTATCCCTTCTAGAAAAAGGAAAACAACATCTGTTGTTTTCCCTGTCGCTGTTCCCTGTGCAATAGCTAGGTGATGAGAAATTCAGATTTCCAGCCCCTCTGTTGAGTCTTGCCACCCTTACCTTTCTGTATGGCACTGCTGAGAGTGTTTGATTCGTTACTTTTGGAAGGGACAGAGCCCTAGAGTTAGAGGTTATTGGTCCAGCAGCAAAACAGCTGCCTTCTCTTCTGAAAGCTGGGACCAAAGTGGGATGGAGCACTTGTGATATTTGCAGGAATTCTGCCCACAGCAGAGAGCCAAAGGGGGTTTATCTGGGATCCTGTCTATTTATTTGGTGCCATCACCCATGTCGCACTCAGAGGCACATGAGGTTTTCTTCTTGTGTAAGACATGGATCCCTTGTGCTAGACTGAAGCTGCAGATGAACCTCCCAAGGTCACTGTACAGATGAGATGGGGGTTCTGCCAGGGTTCTATCAGAGAACACAGGAGAAAATCTATATTCCTGACCACCCATATGACCTTCCCACAGTGGCACCTTCTGTTAAGTATCTGCTGCTCATCTAGGCTTCTTTTCTCTAATTTCAGGAAGGGGAAGCATTTTTCCTCCCTTTTTAATTCTTTTCAGCCCAGAGTCTGGTCAGTCAAGATGACCTGACATGCCCTACAYTGCTGTCTCTTGTAAAAAAGATGGCACATTTGTCTGCCTTGCTGCTACTCCAGACTCTGCTGCATATAGCTCTTCTGCTGTTGTTCACTGCTTTCTAACAGACAGATCAATCTATCTGAGCTTCTCCCTGACCCCCAGCAGCTGCACCTGTAGGGCCCTCTCACTTTCCTGATCACTGACAGTGGCACTCAGATCTCAGTTAACCAGCTCTTGGCTCAGCTTTGAAAGATCTGGTTCACAAATCTGAAGGCAAGAAACAGCGTTCTTGATTCAATGAAAAGATTAATTTTGATTTGAACGTTCTTGTTTGGTTTCTATAGGCCTTTCTTATTTGCACTCAATGAGAAAATGCTACCAAACCCTGTAGGACTGTGTTGCTTCTTAGTCCCTCCTCCTAGATTACCCAGCTTGGAATTAAACATGAAATATTTTACCTCTCTAACGTCTTCCTCATCAAAATCTTCCTCAATACTGCTGAGCCCAGCATCATCCAGTCTGTAGTCATAAACCAGTCCTTCTTCTGGGAAAAGTAACCGCATCTGTGAGAATAAAGCTGTGGTGAACCTGGCTGCAACTCAGCTGAATTCTTAGGAGGATATGCTCTACTTCAAGGAAGGCTTTACTGATGGAGTGCTGCCCAGGCCAGGGGGCTCAAGTCTCTCCCAGAACTTCAAGCTCCAGGGCTCCCTTTGAGACAGTGGCATACCAAGAGGAGGTCCATCCAAAGCCTTCAGGCATTCAGCTCTGAYCCCCTTTCCTCATTACTAACTCCTCTATTATGAGAAAAGATTTGCTTTTCCCTTACTCACCCTTTCCTTTGACATCTTCTGCCTGACCCATGCGCTGAAGGCCTCACGACCTGCGGCATCCCCAGTAGCACCCACACTCCAGATCAAGGCAAATATAAACCAAGGTTCAATCAGCTCTCCCATACGAGCAATCTTCTCACGGGGAATCGTCTTAAGTCCCTTAGAAACAGAGACAAGCAGAAGAAAAATTCTCAGGTATAATTAAGGCACACAAACCCCAGACTCTTCTTAATTTGCTCATAATTCTATTCAGCTTCTATGTAGCTTTTTCTATCCACTTCTTCAGGCCTTGTTAATACATTCTGTGGATTAAAATCTGTTGTTACATTGGTGTACTTGAGAGACTCCCTTTGCTGAACTAACGCCACTTGACAGGAGCACTGAGAAGAAWTTAGTCTTAGGTTTTTAATTTGAAAATTGTCCAGCCTTTTTCAGTACTAATTCTCAAAGGACTGCAATCTGAAGTGCATCACTGCTCAGCTCTGATCTCTGCTTTCCACTCATTCTCCAATTCCCTCTGCTATAAATAAAAGTGAACCTCTGCCCTCCAGCCTGGGAGGCATGGAGCTTATCTTGTGTTCCTTCAGTGGGCAGAGCATAATCCTTCCAGGTTTACCTGTGCTTTGCTGGATGTTGCATTGCCTTCTGCCACACAGATGAGCTACAGCATGACCTTTCTGCACTAACATTTTGTTCATTGGTGACTAACCCTTTCCATGACTTGGTGTCCTTAGGAGTTACAGGCACAAGTAACAGTGATGGAGGTTGCAAAACCTACCTTAATGGGAACGAAAGGCTGATACAAACATTCCAAGAGCACGAGGAAGCTCCTTGTGAGATTACTGTCCGTTGAGGCAATTACCTCCTTCACAGAGCTTCGCAAAAAGTCAATGGCCTCCTGTAAGGATAGGCAGGGACAGCTCAATGTCAGCAGCCAGCACAGTTGTCTTTGGTTTTATCTTCTTGTTCTGGTTTCTCCTCACTTCCCTCATGTTATGTTTAGCAGGGAGAGTGTGACTGGAAATGCTGCCATTTCCAACTGCATCCCAAGTACCACTATTTTGACAGGAGAAAAGTGAATCAAACCCCTTGGTTCAGTCTTAACACTAAGAAACCTCTGGGCCTGCCTTTTAGTTCTGTGCAACAGTTACATGCATCTCTTGCTATCACTGCTGTTAAATGGTTTGCTCCCTTCAGAGCTTTCCTCTGCAGTTCCAGGTTCTTCATTAAAATAAGGGCTTAGCAGCAGAGTAGAAATAACAAGACTTGCTTGTACAACCTTCCCCCTGGAGATACTCCACTGTAAGCTATGAAACTGCACTAGGGATGGTCTTGTCCAGAAGATAATTTTAAAATTAAATAAAAGCAACAATAATGACCAATAAGACTTAGTCACATCTGCAGAGATCAGAGAGTAACCTCTATCAAAGCCAGAAAATTCACAGAGATGTTTCTATGATAGATATTATGCTGATATGAAATGTTCCCACAATGGCATTTAAATCCCGGCCTTGACAGGTCTGGACTGGTTGATATTCAAGATGACATGGAAAGGCTAAAACAGCATGGTAGCTCACGTGGAGGAATCTCCTGAAGAGAGATGCCAGCTGCTGTGCAAAGCGCTGCATGACTTCTGGCATGTTTTTCAGCCAGCATTGAACRAAGGGCTCCAGCCCCAAAATGCTGGGTTCCAGGTAAACCATGCCACAGCGGGAGACTGTGGCAGGGGAAGCAACAGCCAGATCCTGGACTTCAAACATCATGGTCATGCTCTGGAAATTGTAAAAGGAAAGCAAGGATAAGGACTTGATCAGTTTTGATATGTCTTTCAGTGCAGGGAAGAAGGAGTACAGACAACAGGCAGCAAAAGCGGGAGGGATGAGTTACCTCTGTCATCTTGATGATTTCCCCCGAGCTGAGGCACAGCTTCTTATTGTCATCAAGCACTGTGTTCATGTTCTCAATCCACAAAGCATCAACTGGCCCATCAAACATGTACCACTTCTTGTAGGTGCCAGCGTCCACAGTTCCCCGACGCATGAGTGTGGAAAAAATCCCATCTGTCCTGAAAGGTGGGAGGAAGGCAGGGCTTGACCTGTTTTGGTTTTGCTGAAATAAATGGCAAAGTTCCCACCACAAAAGGCAATAGAGGCAGAATCTCACCCTGGTTCATATGTCCAAAGATACCCCTGCCTCCCTTATCCACGAGCTGCGAAAAGGTCCACATCATTCTTTTTTTTTACAGAGACACACCTTAGCCTGAGTGACTCCATGAAACAATTTCTTTGGGCATTAGTATCTGAAATTCATGTAATTTAGTCATAAAATGTCAAGCTTCCCTTTAACATCTCTGTACTCAGTGAGAGCAAAGGGCCCTTGCTAGCATCCAGTTCAGGTCATAAGCAGATTATCTGCTCTCTGGAGATGCCTCTTTTTCTCTTTTTCTCAGGGTTACAAGGATAAATCCAGGCTAAAGAGCATGACCCTACCCTCTTTATAACTAAAGTTCCCCAACCTCAGCTGCTTGTGAACCTGGGTGGTGCTGGAGCTGGTGACCAGGAGACAGACACAAAGAATGCTGCCTGTTGACAGCAAGAATTTAATCTGTACATGGAAACCTGGAGTTTCCATTCAGACTCTGGACTCTACTCCCACTATTAAATAATTATTTCTTAGTTTTATAGTACTAGTGAATTCCAGGGTATTGTTACTGAGATCAAGGGAAAACAGTCTGTTCTAAAGCTCAGCTGATTAAAACAGATGGATTTGTCTGTAAATATATTTTACATGACTGCTGTATTTTTCTTTTTGTCACGTTGACATGCCCATGTGCTGCCCTTGGGTAGAGTCACATCATAAATAAACTGTTGAGTTCAATTGGAACTCCTGTAAAATGTCCTTCAGTAAATATATACCAGATCCTAAATTGGGAAGCTCTGGTTTCAGCATCAGTAATGTTTACTTGCTTGCACTTTTCCTAGAGGTAGTTAGTTTCATATATATTTAGTTTCCCTCATTTCAGAGAACACAATCTTTAGCTTTGCCCTGAAACAAGTGCTGGCTGACAGGGCCAAAGGGAGATTCACACTGCTTCTCACATCCTAGCTTCTGGATAAAGTGAGCTGCAAAGTCAATGTCAGGTCACATATGGAAACATAAGCAGTAGGACCTGGCTGTAAAGAGGGCAAACGGGCTATTGGTTCTTGTTCCCAAACCATGTAAGCAAGCAGGAGCCCTGGCAACRGGAAAGAAATGCCTCTTTATGCCTGAAAGTCATTCCTCATCATTCAAGGATACCAGAGTATTTATACAGAACAATGCAAGTGCGCAGTACAGAGGTCACTTTTCTTCAGAAGCAAAGCAAGTGTTTTTAAGCTGCTGTATCTTAGGAGCAGGGCATGTGCTCCAAAGCTATTGAATTATTGTTCTGCAGTTAATGCTGCAAGCTGAGCTGCAGGAACTGTCTGGGCATGTGCTGGCAGATGGGCCAAGCACACAATGAGGGATGTCAGCTTAAATCGCCGTGACTGGCTATTGTAGCTTGGTGGGGATAAGGACTTGATCACTTCTGGTTTTATGCCACAGCCCCAAACAGTTCTCAGCCTTGAAGAGAAGACGCTCAAGACTAGGAAAGTGTTTTCTGTCTGGAAGAAAGGAAAGGTTTTGTACTTTACCACTCATGCGTTAGCAAGTTGAACTCTCCATAAAGCTGGCCCATTGTGATGGATTTGGGATTCAGTACATAGTAGCGGACTTCTTCGTAATTCCCACCACTGGCTGCAGGCTGACCTTTCAGTGATGTCATTGCAGCTGCCAGGACTTCGTAACTCTGCARAAGCAGGACAGCCAGAGTTAACTGCCATGGCTCCAGAACGACAAAGCCACTTGCTGTCACAGCAACTGCATTCAAAAGGCAATGAGAAGGGTGACACAGTGAAGGGTAATATCATAGTAAGGAGATGCCTGGCTGAAATAAAAGCACAGAAATTAAGCATTCTACATGCAGGRGAGGAGGAAGTTAAATCTCCTGTGCAAGAGGCCTGAAGCACTTTGAGAGGTCAAAGTGTCTCAGTCTTAGAAATCTACAGCAGAACTATAAGCCTCAGTCTAATCTCACAGCTCCAAAGAGTGAACCAGAACTGTACCTCCCCATGGCTATAAACTATGACTAACAGGCAGCATCTTTGGGCCCTGACTTCTATCTGAGAGAAGCTTTAAATGCCAGAGTGTGGGTTTTCTGTGAAACTTAACCCTCTGCATCACCAGGTAGGTGATGGTTTGCTGGGGCCAGCACAGTGTCTCATCCATACCTTAGTCTTCCCAGAACCTGTTGGTCCCACCAGCATAAGGCCGTGACGAACCACGGTGGTCTCGTACAGCTGGATGCACTTAGTCACAAAACCTGTACAGGAAGATGATGCCGAGTGGGTCTGGGTCTCTTTCCTAGGGCAGCATGYTGGACTAAAACCCCAGGCCCAGAGGGAGCTTGTGGAGCTTCCTCCCCTCACCATCAACATCCTTCAGGTTCGCATCGATGCAGGATTTGCGGATGGCTTCTTCCAGGATGCCATAATCAACAGGTGATTCTCTGATATTTGGAAATAAATCTGAGACAATACCATTGAAGAGCTTGAGGTCATCCTGCAGGAATTTGGGTACGTTGGCATCCCTAATAGCTCGCAAGCAGATCAGCTCCTGCAAGGATTTAAGAACTCAGGACTTCAGAGATCTTTCCTCTCATATGAGGCTGTGGAAAAGGCCACATTAGTCTCTGGCAGGGTGAAGTACAAGCACATTTACCTCATCCATATCRGGATTCTCTCTTTTGAGATTACCAGCTGTTGAGATGACAGTCTTCACAGCTCTCATCCCAAAGTCATAGTGGTCCTGAAAAAGGCACAGAGGAAACAATGTCATCAGATAGAGGAGCACCACCTAAAAAAGTGAACTTATGCATGGACTCAGCTGGCAGGAAAAGAAAAATGAGTTATGCCTTCAAAACAATTCCTCCTTCACCCAAGTTTGCTCTTAGGATCCTTCAAACAACTAATTAGTTCTCMGCTGTACAGTCTATGAATGAAAAAGATGAGAATAACTGCATTTTGAAAAATCCCAGATGGAAGGAAAAGCAGGCAGGACAGTTTGGCTCAACTGTCCTGTCACTGTAATCCTATCTAGGATTTAAGGTRACTCCAAGCCCAGCCACAGGAGCAGAAATGAGAATTAAAAAGAAGGAAGATGAAGAATGGGTATGATGACCTCTTTGAGATATGCTATGACAAGGCACCAAGAAAGCCATCCAAATACTATCCAGACTGAGAAAGTCTCACATTAGAAAATCATTAATGGACCTTAAGGCATGTACCTGGGAGCTGAGCTGTTCTGACAATAGTTTGAATGTTGTGGTGATCTTCTTTGCAAGGACTTTAGCTTCATTAAACCCAAAGGAGTAGAGTGAGATCTCAGCAATCATGGAGTAATCTGGGACCATCATAGCCACRGGACGAAAGAGAGCCTGGAACATACAGAAAACACAAGATGTCAAAACACTGTCATTCCTTGCTTTTCCCCCAGCAGACTGAAAAGGCTGAGTATCCATCCCAGACTGTTTAGAGGACATGAGTGTGCCTGGCACCTGTCACTGCAGCATCCCTGCAGACTGCAATCTGAACAGTGCCATTTCCTTACATGTGCTCCAAACCTCAAAGTGATCCCAGACGCCACTTTCATAAACTGTCACACCCTAACCCTTGTCACGGACACGCTGGTGGGTCCAGGTAGCATCCAGCAMCTGTATTACCCCTCTTCTCTCTGTCTGTGCAGCCTGCCCTCCCTTACCTTCAGGTTATCGGGCAGTTCAGTGCGCCCAGCATACCCTGGGTTCATTGTGATGAAGACAGCACAGGATGGGACCAGTGGGATCTCTGTGCCTTCAAATATGAATGTTTCCACCTGGAAAATTAAATATATGATCATCCTCRAAGAACAGAGCCTGACCTGCAAACTAAATAATACAGCAGAATCTTCCAAGGGGAGAACAATAGCTTTTAGTCGTTAAATTATCAAACACAAACACACAGCTGCCCACAACTGTAGTGACTCAATCTGGTCCCACTGCAGGAATCCAGTATTACCAGCAATATTTTTCCCTGTATAAAAAAACTGGGCTCATGGAAGATTTACTGATAGGTTAATTTATTTTTTTTTTACTCTTGAACAGGCTTCTATCCCTCCAGCTGTAAACAAACGTCTTTCCATTTATGTTCCACTAGAGATCAGACCTGAATTAATTCGTGGCAAAGAGAAACCTAAATCCTTTTTAAAGCTGTGTAGGTAGTAATTTCAGATGGGGGATAAAGTAATGTAGAAGAATTTACAGAGAGCAAGTTTCTAATTCCAAGCCAAAGTCAAGGAGATTCAGGTCTTAACCCTTCTGGGCCTCCAGAGAACAAAGCAGAGGCTGGCTGYTAGAATGGCTGACAGCTGAATCTCCATTAAAGCCAACAATTCACTTTACTTTGCAATTCTGTGTGTGCACAAATATGTGTTTTTCTGCACATACTGGCTTTTGTGAATTCACCAAAGCTTGGTCAACCAATTTAGACAAATCTGGTGCTGAGCAACTCATGGCAGACCACTGATTGCCTTTATCACAGTTCTAATTTTTATCAGCTCAGTGGATCTGTATCAGAGTGTCTCCCACACTACAGTGCACTGGCACTGCAGTTCATGCTGAGAGGTACTTYAGCCTGTGAGAGTGTGGTCAACTCTAGCAGCACAGACTAGGGTGAAGTTAAAAATTCCCCTGAGGATGTTGACTATGTAATGATGTGCTACAGTTAGGACACTATTCAAACCTCTCGTTGAGGATGTCTGTTCGAGTCGCCCCTGAGCAGTGAAGCTTGTCCTCCATGAAGGTGTGTGAGGACAAGGACTTGCCTGAACTAGCTCAAGTGGAGATATTTTTGCCTGCATTTGCATCCAAGTGTTCCTTACATACCCTCTGCTGCTGTGCTTTCTGTATGGTTGTGATTTGCTGGGCCACCACAGACAGCACCTCGATATCAATGCGGTTGAACTCATCGAAGCAAGCCCAGGCACCAGAGCTGGCCAAAGAAGGAAGAATGAAGGGAGTCAGGAACATCACACAGGAGCAAACTTGCAGTCAAAAGTTGAGCTAGATCTATAAATCATATATCCACACACTGGATAGGCATAAGAGAGACTAGARGTGAACACAAAAGGACCCTGATGTCCCATGGCAAACAGTGACACAGCCACAGTGTCCTGGTTCAGTGGACACCTTGACTGTGCATCACAGACCATGTGATGAGTGACCAGTACCTGATCCTATAACCTGGAAAAATTCTGCATGTTATAGATTTCAGCTTTAAAAAAGTGTCATGTTGAATTACCCGAGCTGCAAATGTAGCAGATACAGTTTAGGCAACTCTTGAGTCCATTTTTCAGAGTTTGGAAAAATATGTATAAAGCTGGAAGCATGCATATGAGGAAGGTGATCTTCCCACAAGGCATGGCTTAAGAAAGAAGTTAAATTACTCACAAAGAAAACATCTGAGAAAAGAATATCAGCTCTTGTTGGAGCAACTAATTCAGATTCACCAGTGTGCAACAGACTAATTGGACCAGCTCTGTTTGAAATGTAGAGAAGAGAGAAGCCTCTCTGAGAGGATCCCTCAGGGCTTAGARCAGTCTCTCTTGGCTGCTCAATTTTGAATACTCTCAGCAGATTCTCTTCTTCTTAAGATTAAGCAGCTTGTGGGCTGAATCTCAGTCCAACAAGTAAGATATTAAAATAAAGGCCAAAGCTGCAAACATTTGCACAGGTGGATTAGTGCATTGTGGATTAGCGCAAAGCATTTTAATTTTGCCTTAAATGAACAAGGATCTCCTTTTATCTCTCTTTTTTTAATTGGATCAACTGTCCCTCCTTTCTGGCTGGAATTTTGTAACCTTGCTCATTCTGGCACTCAGTTTTTACTAGGCTTTACCTCTTTCTAGGGCTTTTCTTGATTTTTTTTTGGACTGCTATGAAAAATACCCACCAGTTCCTAGTGTGCAGCATCCCTGTATCCTACCCACTCCTCAGTAATGACACACAGCATATCACTGTACCTGGCTAGTCCCTTAAAAAACTTGCCCATTGCCATAAAGTCAAGTTGGTCAGAGCAGTTGAACACTACAGTTTGGATTGCCAGTGCTTTGCCCAGGTCTTTTGTTGTTTCTGTTTTGCCTGTTCCTGCTGGTCCTGCAGGTGCTCCTCCAAATTTCAGGTGCAGAGCTCCTGTAAGTGTCAGATAACACCTACAACAAAGAAGAGACCAGATGATGAAAAAAAGCATTTGTACCACTGATTTCAGCTAGGAGACATATGATCTATCCAGCTGGAGACAAGGAGGAATCCATCATTCATTATTCTACTAAACTGCTTAGATATGCAGCATTCTGCAAAGGAGTTAGAGTTATGTGGCCTTGATTAGTATTCACGGGGGCCTGCATGGATAAATCCTTCTGCCACTGGCTACAGATTCATTCTCCAAAAAAAGAACAGTAACAAAAGGGTAAAACTATTATTTCTGCTGTATTCTATTCTAGGGTACTAGCTGCTACCTTCTGGTTTCTAGAAGAGCTTCTTAGCTATGAGGTGGGCATTTTATATGAGTCAGAGCACTGCATTAAGAATTAGGAGAGTGAAAGCAATCAGTCTGAGCAATGATCACCAGGAATACAGTAGCAATCAATGTCAGGGTGCTCCTGTGCACTCATCTCAGGTAGTCCTTCACTATACAAATGGATTCTATTTACAAATATTAAGCTCTAAGACCTGCATGGTCAGATCCTTGGTTTAATSCTGTTCATCCAGAATCACAGAATTAACCAGGATGGAAAAGACCTTTGAGATCATCAGGTCCAACTTATGACCTAATACCATCTTATCCACTAACCCATGGCACTGAGTGCCACGTCCAGTCTTTTCTTAATACACCAAGTAAAGAAAACAAAAATAAATAAAACAAAAGAAAGAGAAAAAAGATGCCCTTATTACCCAGAAAACAAAAAAATGTCCTTACCTGTCAGTGAGGGGTGTGATAACCAGACGGCCAGTGTTCCCCAGGTACTCATAGCCATAGATAAACTCAGCATTGACTGCTCTGATGTACAGGTCGTCCTTTGTCCAGTAGTACCTAATGATGAGTGAACATGGAATCAGAAAGACAAACACTGGCTGGCAGGGGAAACAGCAGCTCATGAGATAACAGCCTGCAGGTTTGGGGACCTGCAAGTCAATGATTTCCCTTTCGAGAGAAGAAAGAATAAGGTGACACAACAGGGTGGACAGGAGTTCTCACAGGACCTGGGTCAAGCACTGCACCCCTTGGGCAGGAACASGGCCTTTCACAGTGAAACACAGTATATTGCCAAAGAGGATGCCATCAAAACCAGATGTGTCTCAAACTCCTGTTTCCATTTGTCACGGACACAGCTGATGGGTAAGGAGAATGAAGACTGGCCAGGGTGGCCAGGTGAGGTTCAACAGCTGTGCTCTCTAACCTGAGCTGGGAGATCCACTCAAAATCATTCATGCTCGTTACATTCTCCTCAATCAGCYTTGCTGCCACATCCTTGGCATGGACCTCGATCACAATAAGAGCTGACAACACTGCTCGCTGCATCCTGGACAGTCTGCCACGGACCAGGGCTACCAAATCTCCCAGCTGGGGAAGGAAAGGAATATACCCTGAGGCAATCCATTCTGCACCAACACAATGCAATCAAACTCAGGACATGCTAAATTTCAGATCGTAGGCTGTGCTCTTTTCAGAAGTACAAATAATTGCTCAGATAGCAAATACTACTCAGGGCTGGCTCAGAGCTGAGTTTTGCCTACACTATTMCCATGTTCAGGTGAAAAGAGAGAGTTAGAACTGCCATGAAGTCCAGAGATAATTAACTCCCAGTTATCAGGTGTGATTAGATGCACMGAACTGACATGAAGGATGCAGTTTTCTCCACTGTCACTCACTTCAGTTCTTCACCATTGGCTTCTAGGGTAACCCTGGAGAAGTTATCTTTCACCTTGTTATAGTGTTCAGGTGGTGATCATATTATCAATCCTGTATAATATTTGAGGTTTATTATGACAAATATCTAATGATTAAGAAGATTACCTGTTTTTTCACCATTTTGAACAGTGCTATGTAAAAATGTGTCTCTGTTTCTGCATTGTCCTAGCTGTATCTATAACTTGTCTGAGGTCTGCTGATTGAAAAGTCTCCATCTGGCAAAATGTCACCCTTCCATTCATTTTCATACCTGAGTACTCAGCTGTGGGTAAAGCCTGCTGGACAAATCTCCAGCTTCCAGAGCTTCAGACACTTCCTTTGTCCAGAAAATCTGGCAGCCAGCAATGACCACTTGGCCAGGCCATTGCAAGACCCATGAGGGACGCGGAGTCTTGAAACAGAAAAAAATAGGTATGAGAAAGGGAGAAAAAAGGTGATAAAACAATTATTTATCTATCTATTTATTTATTTAGTTATTTATATGTCCTCTTCCTCTGAGATGCATGATTAACAAATAAGCACTGAATTCTTTTGTAAGAGGCTTTCCTTTTTTTTTTTCCTCTCCAGTTGTGCAAAGAAATCTTCTTTGGGCACAGGCTCTCTGGCCAYTGGGTACAGCAGGTACCTTCTCTCCACTATGCCACCTGCAGTAACCCGCTACAAGTAGCCAGCAGCAGGTGAAGAGCAGGAATCTGTGAGATTCAAAAGAATGTTTCCCCTCCTGTGGCCTGTTCTAACTTTTCTACTTTCAAATTTACAGTCTGRATAAAAAAAAAGTAACAGAAATATCTGAAGCCTCTTTGTTTTTCAGCCTTTCTCCCTCCATAGATTAGAAATTTCAATTTTACACCAGCATAGCTTTTATACAGAAACCACAGCCAAGATGCATCCCCTAAGCACTGACTGAAATCAATAGTTCATGTGCCTTGATTACTTTTACCACCCCCTAGAACACTGTGTGATAGAAGTGAGTGAGAGCTGAAGCAGAAGATCTTTACAAAGAGGAATTAGCGTGGAGAAATGAACAGATATGGATTCATGCAGGCTTATTCTATGCTATAGGAAGGCTGTGAGGGAGTGTGCAGGGTTTGCATTCTGCTGAACCATTAGCTTCTTGCTCAGCTGCCCATTCTGCACTTACAGACACACAACTGGATTAAAGATTGTATTTTGAAAATGGAATAGAACAGAATAGGATATTCTAGTAGAATACACCCCAAGTTCATCTGGTGACCTCTATGCAAGCCTGGAACCAATGCATCAGAGACCTGCCAGTTTGTGACAAAACTCTTACCTCTGGATAAACACCAATTGATCTTTCTATGTTGTCCCGAACACTGGCCTTCATGGATTTCTCCACTTCCAGCAGCCAGTCCTCCACATTCTGACTGGGATAGATGGCAGTAAACAGCTGCACCTCTTCTCCATCAGAAGAGTACATGTGTGTGATCTGTAGGTCTTCCTGGAATTTCAGCTAATGGAAGAAGCATAACAAGAGATATCAGTGGAGGTTTTCCTTTCTATCACTGCTTTCCTGCCCCTAGGGGACACCCAGCCTGTATCAGTGTTTGCTCATTATAAACCTGGTTCCAAACTTGGTTGTCAGTAGTGATAATAAAGTGTGTGATAGACGTGCAAAATGACCTCTCCAAATAATGGAAAATGATTGTATGAAAACAAGAGATTCACATCACTGGTGTGACTTGAGTGAAACAAATCAAATTATAGGCAGGATGAACATGTCTCATTGCCTGTCTAGGATTCAGACCCTTGACTCCCGCTCAATTCTGTAGATTCAAATCATTTCCCTTGATGTCACAGTGCCTGCTTTTAAGAGTAAAATTTTAACAGCCTCTCCCGTGCCCCAGCATATCACTGAAAGTCCCCTTATTTATTCCAATGGCTTTGCACCAGGTTTGCAGTTCAATTTCCTTTCTATTTTTCCAAACTAATGACTAGGAGATTGGTTTTACTGTCTGAGTATTGTGGCGGTTCGAGCTGTGACTAGCTATGGAGTCTGAAGTCTATTAGGAATAACGAAGAGATAAAATAGCCAGGTTCACTCCAGCTCCTAAGTAAGGATGAAGGCAGAAGCTTAATTCAGCTGAGGCTTGTTCAGCCCTTGTCCCTTCTGGAGCTGTCAGCAGGAGTGGGATTCCATCCCAACCAGGTGCCTGCGAGTAGACAGCTAAGTCAGAGCTATTTCTCTTGGCCTTCATGATGGGATGGACAGACATCTCCAGAGGGAAMGTCCTCTCCTCTTAGGATGGATATCCAAGTGAATTTCTCTAAGTCACCCTTTGCAGATGCCTATTTCTCCCCTAATGTCTGAAGGACAACTAAGGGTACCCAGTTCATGGGCAGATGCCTGGCTTTGAAATGTCTAAAGTGAGGTTGCTTGAATCCCACCTCAGGGCAGGCAGCACTTTGCAATACCTATGTACAATTACAGGTTCCCAGGAGATACATTTCTATACAGCAGAATGTGAACATTCCTCCAGACCTCAGAATGCCTCCAAGTTCCCATGACACAGCTTTCAAAAGGTGGGCCAAGCCACTCGTGTCCTTGCTTTGCCTACCAGTGCAATGTTCTCAAAGCACTTGTGGAGGTGAGGTTGTACAGCAGTGGGGTCTTTTGTCTGAGACAGTATTTCCAGCAGCTCATCATCTGAAAGGAAGTAGAACCTACAAACACAGAGAGAAGCAAGAGGAGAGGATCTATTTACTGCAGCAGCAAGGGCTAAGTCCTGGCAAGATGAGGAACAATCCCTTTGCTAAAGACACTATTTCTGACTGCTCACAGATCTCTTTGTATTTGCACAGGAGATGAGCAGCCATCTCCCTGTCTGTAGAGACAGACTTCTCCCTCTGCAGAAGTYAGTTGTTCCCAAGCAAAGAGAGTTACTCAGAGGTTTCCATTTTACCCCACCTTTCTACACAAATCTTGAGGCACAGATATGCAGTGATGCTACCAGACTGCCCTTAACTCACCACATTTGTGTGCGCCTGTTTTCTCCCCATCAGATGGCAGCATTGAAAGGCACAGCTTTGCTTATGTTTGCAAGCCATGAATAAATCCTAAGTTWAGATGGTTTTGCTCTTTCTTGGCAGAATGAACTGCAGTGAGCCTCTCCCTTCCTATTTTCTGAACCAGGGATCGTGATCTTGCCCACTGAAATTTGGGGTTACCTGGGAAAAGCGCTTCTCTTTGTCTCCAGATATTCACTCAGCCCTTTCTGAACGAGTTCAAGTAGTTGGTTACAATTTTGCAGCTTCTCCAGTAGRTCTGGATTAGGGCACAAAGAAATCACCTATAACAGAACATGTAACAGAGGAAGCATTAGGATTCCAAGCATGTGGGAGATAAGACTGGAGATAATTGGTTACCCAGTGATGTTACTGATAGGATTTAAATGACTCATTCACAGGAATTCTCTGGGATCTGGAGAGCTATGAGCAAGGAGGGTAAACAGTCTTTATGGAGACAAGCACAATTCTGGGTTCYCCTAAATACCAACATTTGTAATATGGAATACAAGTGGTGATTGAGTTCTGGGAAGTGGAGACTGAAGAACAGAATTGAGCAGAGCACTGCAACCAGAACACAAAAACAGGCAAAATCAATGCCTCTAAAAACTCAGAGGGTCAGTCCTGAGGAGGAATTGAAGGAGTTACCTTAAGGATTACAGCCATAGTAAGAGTCACAGGAGGCAGGGAGTCTGTGTGTTGAGGAGGAGGAATCTGGTGAGGTGGAGACTTCAGTGGAAGGCACTACAGTGAATGACTCTGTCCTTAAGGACACCAGAATGAAGGCCAAGTTCCAAGAGAAGAAATCCAGCACAATGCCCTGGGCAAGGCCACAAGGTTAATACAGTGCTGCTCCTRTCCACACCATTATGAAAACAATGACTCAAAGACACAATCCTTGTGTGAGTACTGCTCCAAGGAGTTTGGGATACCTGCACTGGCTTTCATCAAGGCACATACCTCAGGGTTTGCATTAGCCTTCTTCATTATATGCCTCCAATCCTTATCCACGACATTGTAGCGCTGGCTTTCCACTGGCAGCTGTCTTTTGATGTCCTCTGAGCTAAAGATTGGCTCCAAGTAGAGCCAAGAGCGCTGACAGTTCAGCCACTCCTCTAGGACATCCTGGTGGGAATCCAGAAAAGCATATCATGACACCATGCTATGAAMGTGTTGAATAAAACAATTCAAACTGTGCACCAGAATGGGGTTGAAAAAACAAGGAGGGGGGAAAAAAAAAAGAGGTGATGGTGCACTTAGACCTTTCACAATTCTAAAATCTACCTACACAGTCATTTCCTTTCAAAATTTCCTTTCCAAATAATTAACAACTTCCTAGCACTTCCCTTTCCAAAAGTTTTGGAACTTTCTCCCACAGTACTGCTATTTTGCGGTCAGAGTCCTGCTGRGTGCTCCTGGTTTGATGAACAAGTGCTGGCAGAGTTTGCCAGATTCTACTTAAATAGCAGTCTTCCTTGTGCTTTCCTACACTGARATATGAATGATCAGCATGGATTTCACAGGTCTGCAAGAATCTGTGAGGTCCACTTAGTATAGTGTGATTAGAGAAACCAGTGAGACTAATCACAGCAAGGGGTGAGTTCTGGCCCCACCAAAATGTGTCACACTAAGCAGCAAAAGAGCTTCATTACTTTACTAGAGTCTGRGGACTTTCACAGGCTCTATTCTTCCCTAAAGAGTGATAGTCTCTTGATAATTGTCCTTCTGGTTCCCTAGCAGCAACTGCACAGTGTCCACATCCAAGCATGGCACGAGTGTGTGAGTAAAAACCAGTACCTGTGTCATCTTCAGCTTACTTTCCCACAAGTTCATCCTTTCTTCAAAAGGTTTCTTGAAGGGTGAGAAAGACATGCTCTGAACCAGGACAATATGATCATCTAGCAGCTGAGAAATGTCATCGGTGCTTTTCAGAATATAGGTTTTTGTYTCTTTGTAAAGCACCACAACAAATAAAACAGATTTCCATTCACTCTCTATCTTGTTGAGTGCCTGGAACAGRGGGACAAGCAATTTAATTTACAGATACAAACTGTGCAAATAGTTATCCCAGCTCCCACAACTCTYTTAATGCCACTCTCTAGAAAAGGACAGATTTTTGCTCTTGGATTCCACAGGAAACTGCAGCTGTCTATTTTACKCCTGACACACTCAGCAGCAGTACATTTCCTCTGCATTGCCCAGCACCTCGACACCAATGCTGAAATGAACACCTTGAGGGAAAAAAATGGCAATTTCACCTCCAGGCCTGTTTATGCTCTAGATGCACAGAGGCTGCCAGCAATGGGCCTATTAATGACTACAGTTAGTGACATCTTTGTCAAAAGGGGAACTATCCATTGGGAACTTGCCTGAGATTTTAGAGAACAGGAGCTGCCAGAAGGTCAAGACCATCTTAGATCACGTCTGAACTGATGAACTGAAGCAGAAAGACCATCTAGCCTATGAATCTCCAGAGCTAGCGAGTTTTCCCTGCACATTTACTGGTTTGAAGAATTTGCCATATCTGTTTCCAGTCACAGCTAATTCCCATGACAACATCTGAATGGCAGAGTGCAGAGAATCAATTTATTTTAGCTTAACCAGTCACTAATCCCATAGTGAGGAGTGAGACCCAAGCAGTGGATCAACATAACCATAGTGCTGTTAATGCCACAACTGAAATTCTACACAAGATGAAGCAAGCTCTTCTCAGGTGTGAACTCAGTTGTGTGGCCACTGCTCCCCTCTGTAAGGATAGCAACCTTTTCACTTGTGCTACAGAATGTGTCTAATACTCTGGGACAACAGGAACACCACCCAAGGCAATGACTGCCTGTTCAACAGAAACCTGTTTGAGAAGCAAGCAAAGACACAGCAAGTCCTCTCTACTCACACTTTCAATAGCGTATTCCTTGCTGGCTGTCTCAGCTACTTTGAGAATACTCTCCATGTGGTCCTGCAGTTTCAATTCCAAGCAGTGACCAAATGTCATACTGGGTTCCAGCTCGACACCGGCCTGAACCTGGTCCGACAGCATCTTCCAGTGCCGGTCCCTCATCCCAGGATTGCGCAGACCCTGAATCAAGGGCACGTATTGTTTGAAATCATCCATCTTGTCTCGGAATTCCATCGCGACATTCTGRCAGTCTTTCAGGGAGAAAAACAAAATAACATCAGCAACAACACTGTGTAAGGAAGTTGCCTGAGGGAACTTCTAGAAACTGTCTAAAGCCTGATGTGCATATAGTCACATGGTATGGGGTAGGTAAGCAGCAGGAGAGAGCACTGGAAAATGCAAGTTGAAGCTAAGAGGATATGAAGGCTCTCTCTGTATGGCCACTAAACCAGCATTCAAGCCCACTCCCAGAAGCAAATCTGTCTATTATCAAAAGCCTGTTACAGGTAAGCCCATGTTAAGCAGAAGTGTGCCTTAGGCTAGAGTTTGCCAGAAGAAGAGAAGCAGACAAATTTAACTCCTTGACATGGACTGAAGCATGATCATCTGMCAGTAGATATTTTAGAAGTTCTGGTCAACATTTCAAGATATTCACTTCTTAACAAGACTGCTTGTTAAGTTATCTCACACTACAGCTCAGGCCATCCTCAATAAGAATATGGACACTAAGGAGCTAGAAGTAGGCTGGGATATCAGCCAGTTCTGGCAATGGAAAGTGTGCAGGAGAGGTCCTGCCAGCCTGTGGCCATGCTAGAGACAAATGTACTTCTGCCTCACAGGAAGGACAAAGTGAGGGAAAGGGCTTTTCTCTCTAGGGGCATCCTAGAAAGGCTCTGCACTGTTCACATCCTGCCCTTTTTCCAGCTTGTGCTACTGTGAGTAAAACAATGAGTAGACAAAGAACATGGGACTCCYTCCTTTCCAAAAGCTGGGTGCAGCATGTGCCTCCTTTTACTGCACCCTGCATGGTTGCAGTGCATGCTTACAGCAAAGATATGACCACCTCACACCATATATCCTGGGGACATGCAAGGGCAAATCAGACTCATGGACAAAACAAATATATTACCAGGTACTAGAGAATATTGCAATGAACATAAGCAGGTATTCTTAGTATTTCTGTTTATCATAATGATTCATAGTTACTCACGCATCCACTCATCACCTCCTCCATTGGGGCTGATTCATGGCATTGTTTAAGAGCAAGTTCAAGTTAAAAAGGATGAATCAAAAATCACCCACAGCAAAATATATTTCAATCTAAGCCATCTGGCAGGAGATTTTAGAGTTAGCTCTAAAGAATGACCAACACATCTCTGAGACTCAGGGAATAGGAAGATAAGCTACAACTGAACTCCCAATTTCAGCTTTATTAGGAGAAATGGTCAAAAGACCTTCATGTGAATTGCATGGGCTGAGTGCAATCATCTAAATTTTATACACATTCAGGAAAGAAGAAAAACTGTTAYTATATTACAAAGATAATTTCCAGATTTTGCAATTTCATTTTATTCATAACAAAATCAAGACCTCTGCTGGGTTTCCATTAAATTTATTGGCCAATAGAGCAAATAACACTGGCCAAGAAAACAGCACCTGCAAGACCCAAATTCAAGTCCCCTTGCTGCCTGACTTGCACAAGGGCTTAAACCCACATGTCTAGCCAGTAGGTTATATAATAACACTTTGTGACTAGCCTGGATTATTTCACTTTACATATATATATGAGTAAATATTAACTGCAACATCAGAGGGTGGCTTTTATTTCTGTACTRTCTTGGGAATTAGGCACAAAAGGGATTTGCAGCCTGGTAGTTTCCATGCCAAAGTGGTACTTCAAGCAGCTAACTGATATCTAGATGTGAATCATCGTAGTTTCAGAAAAGAAAAGGTGGAAAATAACATTGCTAGCATTTCCCCAGCTGTCTCTAATACACACGTGACATCCTGACAATCCCTCTTTAGAGCACTCTGTGACATGCCTCATATCAAAATGCTGATATGCATATCCCCAGAATCTACCTGGTGAATCCTTGAACTGCTTCACACATCTCTGCATTGTCTTAACAGAGTCGGTGACRTTCCTTTCTAGCTCCTCAGCTTCAATTTTAAGGAGAGAATCATTCATCCAGCTCTCATTCCACTTTATCCAGTCTGACACTGTAGTCCACAGATCATAGTATGGCTGGAACTCCTTAAGCATCTTGGACAGCACACTGTACTTKAGAAAGAAATTAAAAACAACATAAGCAACAAGTGTATTCACCTCCAAATTGCAGCTTACATGTCAAAAGGCCAAAAAGCCCAAGTCTTTTTTGAATCTGAAGCCAGCCATGAGAAAACATGTATTCCAAGAGGATATATCAGATTACATTTTCCTGGGACAACAATATGTATTGCAAGGGAGAGTGACCAGCTGAGCTGGGCTTGACACATTCAGGCCAACACACACCCAGTGGAGTAGTGCCTGCACCAGTGTATGGCATGGAAAGCACTCTCTACTTGCCTCTACAAAGGTCTCCTGCAGAACCAGGAGATTTTGATGGGCAGGCCACACACAGCCAGTAAAAGCACACACTACACATCATATCGGAACTTGGCTCCTTACAGGGAAAGAGAAGTAACCACAGACTGTAAACTTCACTTCTGGTCTGCAGCCAGACTTGGCTGGATGTGGATGACAATGACTCATTGGCAGCTGAGCAGCTACAAGCAAAACGAGTGTTTGCAACTCTATAAACTGTTGCCTTAGAAGAACACCACGCTCCAAGCTCAGCCAGCTGCCAGCACCCACTATGCAACCACTTGCATTCACACCTATAGACCTGCAGCAACAGCCTTACACAAATGGATGCATCCTAACTGCTGCTTCAAGGCCTTCCCGAACCAGTTCCACCTCATGAACATCCCTCAGACCTCACTTCAGTCTCTCACAGAAGTGGAAATATCAGACCCTGAGCAGCCTTCACCTAGGATCAGCTCTTCTGCAGCCCAGTGGAGTGATGGAGCAGTGTAGTCATTCCACAGGACTGAAGAGCAGTTCCCCAGATAAACCAAAACAGCACGAAGRATTCCTTCCTGAGGAACTATGTCTCATTATTTGCTCTACCTACCACCTAGAAATCCCAACAAAGACCAGAGTCCTGGTACAGGACCTGACACTTACATCAGTAACTCTGATGCCAAAAAGTCTTTCCCTGTTGTTGTAAAGAGCTGCCAAATCCTGAAGCTCCTTCAGCTGCTTCCGGACATCCCTTGCATCATCAGCCGTCTCATGGGCTTGGTTAACATCTGACTGGACAGAAAATCCACCTACAGTCAGCTGGAAGAGAAAAGGCAGGCATGAGTTGAGACTCTGAAGCCGAGTGCTGCTTCTAGAGATCTCAGCCTCCTGGTGTGCTCTTTGTTACATTCAAAGGCAAGATTTTTATGCTCAAAATTTCACCTCTCCCAAATCAATCCCACTTCTGTTTAGACCATGATGAAGTGATGAGGAGAAGTAATAACCACTAGGTCAGGTGGATGAAACTGCAAATGTGATGACCGGTTGTTTGTCTTCTTTGTGACAATAGTTAATCCCCAARGAATAGGAGCAGTAAGTCTGTGCCCAAATTTGATGCTGAATTTATACTGTCATTTGCTATAAAACACATAAAGTGCAAGTGATAGCTCTACTAGTCACTCAGTTTGCTTCCAAGAATTGTTCTATCAAGATCTTCTCTAATAAATTTTGTGTTTTGTTTTGGTGGCTTGGGTTTGTTTGTTTGGATTTTGTTCTGGTAATTTGTATGGGTTTGTTTTTTATTTGTTTGGCTTTTTAATCCACTGTTGGGATATTAAAATTTTTGGAACCTGCTTCCAAGATAATCTAGCTCAGTGATTACACCTTTCTAAGATGGCTTTTTTTTCCCCCCTGAATTTAAGAGTTTCTGAGGAAAAAATAAAATTCAAACTGTTTTAGCAGACATCAGAGGTATCTCAGCTCCAAAACTCTGCAATTATTTCAGGGTCTTTTCCCACAAGATGAGTTCCATGGYTGAATGCTGTATTTTCCCCCTTGATGGCAGCGCATCATAGGAGATGCTCTGCAGGGAACTGAGTACACAAGAAAGAAAAAGAAGGTGCCCATGTTGCCCAAGCACCAAGAATTGGAACACTGTATAAACACCTTCTCAATGAAAAATGAGTATTTCTGCAGAGAATCTTGTCTTCTGTCTTTTGTCTTTCACACAAAAAGGAAAACTCTTAATCAAAAGCCAACAAAAAAAGACAAGGGAGACTGTGTAAATATTTGGTCTAACAATACATTCACCTCAAAACTCATTTGAGTAAAATCTCATCTGAAAGTTTCCCACCTGGCTGACCACAAGGGTTTCAAAACCCCTTTCTATGGACAGTTCATTGTCAGGGGCTTAATACCTGCATATCATCAAGTTTTTCTTGAAATGCCTTCTGATCCAAAATCTGCGCTTTGCGAAATCTGTCTTCATCCTCTATGTGCTGAAGCCGAATGGTCTCTGAGTCCATAGACATTTTTGCTGGCCAATAACTGGCAGTCCACCTGCACTCATATGATACAAGAAAACRAATAGGGAAAAACACAGGAGAAAGAGAGCAGCTTTTTGAGCATATGTTTGAAATGCTGAAAATAACAGAATGAGAAAGCCAAATCCCACCAAACAAGGAATCTTTACAACAACAGAAACACGTGTGGTTTCAACAAAACATTTTTTCCAGCTTGTCTTGTTGATATGCAGTCCTYGTGACTAGGCTATTCAACTGGAGAGAGCTGGGGAGAAGTGGAGGGCCTTTTTAAAAGGAACAAATCCACTACGTTGCTGAAAAGCTAGGAGACAGCAAAATAACAGTTGGCATCCAGAGGGAATGCCTGTCTTTGAATGTATTTGCAAGGAACTGAAAAAAATGGGGTCAGAGTCTTGGCTTATGGCTTTTCAGGGCTACTGAAAAAGCCAGTCTCCTGTTAAGCAGGGCAGCGAGGGGCCAGCGTAACCCAGATACAGGGAAGCCCTGGATTCTGCAGGGTGCCCTGGGGAGGCTGCACAAAGTGTTTGCTTACACCAAGGCAGCTTTCTCAGGTCTTGCTCAGCCACAGCCCACCCATTACTGCYTCCATTTGGACCCTCAGCCTGTGYGCAATGCCAGGTACAAGGTTTGCAYATTACASTGGAGRTCACAGCCCACCCAGCACCTGGGGTGCAACCATCTCCTCTAGTCCTGCCTGTGGCAGTTCTGGTCAGTGTGAATACAGCCACACCTACTCCCAGCTGGCCTGGGGCTGAGCTGTTTTCCTGCAGCTTCTATGGGGTTTTTGTACCTTGCACCCCATGTTTCCAGTTTCAGGAGCACTCTGCAGAGAATCATTAAGGCTGCTGGCATACTGGACCAARTATGTGTCATAAGAGAAGTGCTTCCTGGGCTGAGTAAGCTTTAGAAGCCTTGTAGCTGTGTTTGTGAGCTGACTKTTACTGGGGCACAGTCAGGCCACAATGTGAATAATAAAACTAGGAGGAGGCTGCTTGGAGAAGAACTGCAGTAATAATAAGGGTTAAAATTCCCTCCTAATCCTAAAAAAAAACCCTGTGAATGTTCCTATCTCAGAAGTGTTCATTTTGTTTTAGACACAGACTAAACTGTGCCCTTTGAGAACTTGCAAGTATCTCACAAAACCCCCAAAAAACAAAACAAAACAAAAAACCCCACCCCCAAAAACCACCCAGAGAGAAGGGCTTTACTGTGTTAAACAGATTAATAGCTACCAGTTTGCCTTGCCCCAGGCTAGAGGACAGCATGAACTCACACTTCTTGTCTATAAACTTAATTTCAAGAATTCAGTGCTCATATAGCCTGAGAGATACTTAAAAAGTTCTGCAGGAGCCCTTGATAGACACATGGCCCCTGAAGCACTGAGAATGGTAATTGCTGCAAAGAGTCCCACTTTGACAGGGGGAGAAATGCCTTGTGCTCACTTGTCAGTGAAATCTTCTTCAGTAAGATTGTAAAGGAATTCCTCCATGACCTTGTAATCTTCCATGACTTCCTCAATCAGTTGCTGCACAGGGTGAGAGAAAGAGACAAAAAAGTAGACACCTTTAGACCATGCTGATTCCAAGTCTCTGGTGTACACCTCATTTTCATGAGGTGCCTTTGAAGAGTGTTAGTCACACAAGCTTAATGTGCTGTGGACTGCTTCTGTGCTGTGTGAACAGTGGGAATGGATTTACAGCYCCTTGTTCTGTGAATGATCATGCCATCATCACCCTCTGTTCTACRGGAATGAAAAGAAGTGTGACCTAGTGGATAAAGTGCTGGACAGAAATGGAGTGCTTTAGGTTATCCTCCAGGTTCCCTCATTGGCATGGACAAGTCAGCTTACAGCTTGATGCCTTTGTTCCCCATTTGTTCAGCTGGGAGAAGACTTACACTTCAAATAACTTTGAAATAACTCAGTACTAAAATGCCCTATTAGAAAAAATATATTAACAGCAATTTAAGCACTGGGTAACAGAAAGATTTTCTTAAAAAGAGCATTCATTTTTAGAAGCTAGCTATTCAGTACACAAATGCAGAATGGATCATGAAGGCAGCAAAATGCATACCTAAGTATTTTAGGCAAGATTTTTAACTGCTATTTTGTTTTGCAAAGATATTTAAATTCATGTTATGTGTATTTAAAAATACAAATCTTAGGAATTATAAAAATACAAAGACAGGAATCTCATGGCATTACATGCAAAGACATGCAAGTAAAAAAAAAAAAAAAAAAAGTAGYTCTGTTTCTGAGACACCACATATTGAATTGAAAATTTTCCTTGCCACTTCCCTTGATGTCCCTGTTCAAAAGAGAGCCTGCCCTACCTCCTGCATCGCCAGCTGCTCAGGCACTCCCTTCAGCCAGTCCCGCAGCTCGGTCAGCTCCTCAATGTTGTTTGGTCTCTCATGCATTTTGATGCTGATGGCTTCATATGCTTCACAGATCTGCAGCAGGACACAGCAAAGACCATCAAAAAGTCACTAATTGCTAATAGACAAGCTGGAAGACCTGCYATGATCCACCCACTTCCCATTCTGAAGGTGGTCTAAGTGAAGAGTACACAGCCCTGTTCTGTTTTTTTTCTTTTCACAGTCTTTYCCCATCCATCTCATTTGAGCTCAAATGGAATGAGACTGCCAAAAAAAGAGGAAGAGGAACTGCAGGTATGTAGTAGAAATTATGATAATAACAGATTTAGACAACTGGCTGGCAGAGGCAATTGCCTATATTCYAGTTATCCTCAGAGAAAGCAGAAGGACCTTCCAGTTGTCTACTAGATAGATCTTTCTAATCCACCAACACACTTTTGTAATATGGCAAGGTCCTGAAGAATGTAATCTCATGAGATACAGCTTTCAGGTATGTAATTTATTAAGTATATTTAATACTTGATGTGGTTGAGTCTGCATATTTCCCCTACAATTTTRATTTTAAATAATCAGCCCATTGCAATCTAAAATATCCTCATTAATGTGACCTTTTGGCCATTTCACAAAAACACAGCAACTTCAAAAGCAGGACAAGACAAGACCCAGACAGATAATGCATTGAATCAGGTAACTTACTTTCTGCACCTGCGAATGGAGGTTTTTAGCCAGCATGTCCARCATGGAAGTGGCAAGTGCTTTGTGTTTATCAGACAGATTAAGCCTAATATGTTCTATCCTGACTTGAAAGGGGCCAATGATAATAGAACTAGGTAGAAGGTGGTCCAGGACATCCTTTTCAGACAAGTATGTCTCTACTATCTTTGTCACCTCCTCGGTAGGTGGAAATTGCTCTTCATAGTCTCTGTAAATTAAAACACCRACAAAAAATAGCAGTGCAGACCTTAAGAATATTTGAACATCTAGGCTGTTTGTGTCCACTTAAAGGATCAACATATGAAATTAATAAGGCATATGTTTACATAGTACGTGTGGACTAGAATAAGAGCACAAAATATTTTAGCTGCAGAAAAGGAGTAGAAAAAAGAGATGAAAGACGAAATATGGCAAGAAGAGAGGGAGAGAAAATAAAAACACTGGTGTAAACAGAGCAAGATCAGGAGGCACTTCAGGGGAGGGCAGGCAATTCAGTGGGTTCTGGGGAGAGACAGGAATTTGTCAGATGGGATTTGTAAATTGATTAAGCTGGAATAGGAAAAGAGAAAATGGCTTCATTCCCACTGTTTGGAGAAAACATAAGACTTACACAGAAGTCCATTAAAGTAACAGAGCCTAAAGGACAGTGTAGGTGCAAAGAGTTTTGGCAGTRAAAACAATAAGGTTGAAAGAAAAGAAAACATTACTTTCTACAGAATGCTATCAGCCTGAGCAGACACTGTATGAAGGGGGTCAGACTCAAGTATGCTAACTGGATTCTCAAACAGAATGATTCATTTTTAGGGCCATTAATATCTCCAGTTACACTGACAAGCATGACAGGAATGTGACTGCTATCAGAGACAGGAAGAAATTCCCAGTGCCACCACCAATGTCCTCTAAAAGCATGGACTGTCGCCCATGAGTGATGGCAGCCTCTGACAGGGGCCTGATCTCACATCTGAGGCACGTGGTCTCAGAGCAGGCCCTACACTCTCATGCACATCCACATCCCACAAAGGCTTGTCATTGGGGTCAGAGGGGTTTTGTCAGAAGCCACTTACTTTAGGAAGTACTCGATGTCATTATTATTTATCTCTAAGAACTTCTCGTATTTCTTGCCGTAGGCTTGGAGAGGGATCTGAGTCTTTTGAATGGCAGAGCGCAGAGCCTCACGTAGCTCTCTCACTTCTGGCTCCTGCAAATCCACTGATTCCAGGACATGGGTGTCTGGGATATCCATGTTCTCTAACACATACTGGAAGAGGAAGGTGAGAGGACTTTCAGGACTAACAGAGCTAACTGCAAGGCAATCCCTGGTGGAACCTTTGGGAACTCATGCAGTCCATGCTTCTACATTGTGTGAGGATTTGTTTTATCAGTTTTATGTGCCCCTCTCCCCAAAGAATGAGGGTCTAGGGAGACAGGGCTTTCACAGTAGCAGACAGAAGGATGCATATGCAGAAAAGACCTGCATCAAATTGTCAGAACTGAAAGAGTGCTATTTCCTCTATGAGTCTGCTTTTACCAGCCACCATGCACTCAGGATGACCAGAATGTCCATGGGTCCACAGAACCTGCAGCACCGAAGCAGAAATAACAACCAGACAAAAGAGCTGTGAGGCTGGGTAGATTGAAGAAATCCTATCAGAACAGAACTTCATTAACACAGTGCTGTGCCCAGATTAATTTAACTGAATTCCCAAGTACCCACTCCTGCATGTCTCTCCCTCAGTACAAGCTCAGGGGTGTCTATGCTGAGCTGCAATGCACTGACATGTATCACTGTTGATGCAGAAGTGCTCACCTGCTCCAGCTGTGGGATATTGTGAGTTGCCAGGATTCCCCCGTCGAACAGTGAAATGAGGGATGWCTCAAAGTTCTCCACAGAGGGCCTGAAGAGGATGCCACTCATGTCTATCTTAATGTCTGTTACAAAGAGTGGATTCCTTTGAGGGCTGTGGTGGGAAGAGATAAGAAAGAACAGGGATGCTTTTTCAGACAATGATACACAATTGTATTACTCTGATGCTGATACTAAAATGCCTCCTGGACAGGAAAGGAAAGCAGAGGAGGACTGTCTCATGCAGATGAAGATATAAAACACTGTGTTCTGACTTTACAAGTAAAGACATTGAGAACTCTTTTCTAGCAATCACAACACRTCAGAATCCCCAAAGGTCATAACCTTATCCTGAGAATTGGAGCTGCTTTACAGGTGCTCTTCAAACCAGGCATTCAGTATCTCCAATATACTCCTAAAATGCACCTCCTGGAAGTTATATTAGTATTTACCMATTTTGCATGTGACCAACATGGCTSAGGATCAGCTGAMGTCAGTGTCAAGACTTCCACTGATTTAAAGATAAGAGACCTCATGTGTGTGTCAGGGTTTTTTCTTTTCTTCTGGCTTTCCATTTCAAAATGTTCCTTATTTAATACCACAAAATGCAAAAATCCCTAAATTAACACCCAATGGAATAAAATTTTAGGCACTGTGATAACCTAAATTTGGTATTCTTTAGAGATCCAAGGCCAGAATCTAACTCTGATRTTTCATCTAAGAATGGAATTAAGCAGCCATGCTCCTGGTATTCTTCTTCCTGGCATCCAGAAAAAATCTAGCAGTAACAATTTGTTCCCCCAAGAATGCTGGAGATGGCTGATCTTTAGAACAGTACAAAACCAGCAGATCTTGGTTCTGATGGGTTGTCCCATGTCACTAACAGCAGCTGGGAAGCTGTACTAACAGAGCAGCCAGCTCTGTGTGCTTCTTCCATACTCCAGTGAACGTGTCATGTGGAGGATTGGGGAAAACAGCCCAGCCTAAAGCCCTCATATTGAGCAAAGCTTGCTTGCAGAACAGTAGTTAAAAAGACAACAGCACACCCCTTTTCTGCTTCTTTCTTACATGTAGGGACTGCTGGTGATGTCACTTCCCCATTCCATGTCSTCTGGGCAATCCAGGATACACTGGCAAGCATCCAGGATAAAGTGGGTGAAGCTGCTGAGMGATTTCTGGACCAGGTACCGCAGAGAGTCCTGAAGCATGAACCTGATGCGCTCCATCAGCTTACGCAGCTTGGTCCTCTGGTAGGCATCCCAGTCACTCTGCTCCAGGTCGAAACCTTTGCCTACATCTTTAAGGCTGCTCTTAATTGCAGTCTTTATGGTGTCGATCCAAGTATCCTTGAGAAATTCCTGAACCTAGGGCAAAGGAAAAAGCAAGCTGTGTAATCCTCTGAGGGCTGATGGGAAAGCAGTACGGCAAGGTGAGCTACTAAATGAGGCTGCTGGACTGTTCTTTGCTGTGAAAGGAAACTTTCACTCAGAGCTGTGGAGCTAAAAGTAACTCTCAAACCCACACACATACATTTGGCATCTGTACCTGGTCATATATCTCCTTCACTGACAAAAGACCCACAAAAAGAAAGCCTGATATGAAAAAGTGGGAGTGCTCTATTCTCTGTTTTATATTCCTTTTTGTTCTCTGTTCTATAGAGCAGTGTCCCTGCAGCTGCCTGTATCAGGGTCCCTCACAAAAAGTTGTGTAGACAGTATGATGAGCACGTAAAGGACAGAATGTTGTCTTCTCTTGACAAGTGAGAAGAAAGAGCTGAAGAAGCCAAGGGCAGCAGCAGTTTGCAGTATTTTAATTTATTAAAATACCACCAAGTGTCACTTCTGCTCCACAGGCAGCTTGCTGTTTGTGTGTAATAAAAGAACCTTAGTCACTGAGTGGATGACAACACTGCCTAGCTGAAACAGCATGGGACTGGGAAGGACCAGCACATTCCCTGCCACTGATTTAGTGTGCAACCTTGTGCAAGTTACTCAGTGTGGCCACATCCAGGGTGCAATGTGCTGCCCTCAATTAGAGGACACGAAGATCCTCTGGTGAGAATTACCAGAGTTGMAAATTTTTGTCCTATTCTGTCTGCTGGCATTGCAAGCAGAGTAATTTAATTAAGTACATAAAGAACATAGAGTGTAGGAAAGTATTACCCCCATGAGTGCTTCAGAAGGAATCAAAGATCTTGGGCCTTGCAGCAGGATGGATGGGGAAATAAAGAAAAAGAAATAAAAGAGGATAAAAAAGGAAACTTTTGAGTGCAACGAGAACTCTTATCTGTGTATAAATCAGGTGGAGGAAAGAGGGGCTRCAGCCCTTTATGGCCACTTGTTTAACACATGACTAAGAGCATGGTCAGCAGTGGCTGATCCTAACCAGGGGACTATGACTCTTTCAACCCATTCTCCCCACATCCCRAYAAATTTGTCAGGCACATGSAAATTCTCCCCTGCCCCAAATRTGATACCTCCTTTGASTGCTCCTCAGTTTGCAGAAAATCARTCTGCAGCTGCTGCATGTGTCTAATGCACACTGACAGCACTACTGGCTGCTCCATGTGTTCACCCCTCACACGGACTCTGCTCACCTGAGTGAAGGCCTCAGTCTGGATCTCTTCAAACTCCTCCATAGAGGAGAGTTTCGTTACGGTTGTGTTAAACAGAGACATGGCAACTACTTTGTTGCACTCATCTTGCACCTGTGCAAGGAGATAAATGACTTCTGGCGTGGTCAGGAGTGAGAAAGATTTGAATTCTCTCCGTTGTTTACCAAAAGGATAGTCTGGTGTAGAGACGAGCCCTAGCACAAAAAAACAAAAAAAAAAAAACAAAAAAAAAAAAACCAAAAAAAAAAAAAAAAAAAACCAAAAAACCAAAACCAACAATGTTAATTGCCTGTCAGCCATTCCAGCTTCTGTTTTTAGAGTACAGCTCCCTTTGGGAAGCACTTGTGAAAAGGACTCTGCTCTAATGCACAGGCCTTTATCATGCAGCAGCTTCAGCAGAGTGCTGGATGAGAGGGTCTCTGCTCCGCAGCAGAGACCTTCTCCACCCTCCCACCAGGGTTGAGGGGCTGTCTTGGTGCCTGGCCTTCCCAAGGCTTTGGCTTATGAAGTTTCCATGAATTGGAATTGAAACTAAAGAAGCTTCCCACTGAGGCTCCAAGGCACAGCTGAGTCACCTTTGGAAGACTGAAGTGCACAAAATACACCAGCACCTCCCCCCCCCCCCCATCTTTTACTGTGACCATTTTCCATTTTCCTCCCGTTTGGGACTCTAAAAGAGCCTGAGCCCTCTTCCGCACCTGAGACATTTCTCAGCTGGGCACAGCAAAGGCAAAGCAGCCAGCCCCAGCACAGTGGTAAGCTAATCACGTTGCCAAACATTTGGTGCCATTAAGAGTACATTGGCAGAGTTACTGCAGCTTAGCTGGTGGGTTCTCATGTATTATACCAAGGTAACATGAACATGCAAATATACCCTAAAAAGGAGGAGACATACTCAAAAGTCTCACATAATCTCCTGTTGCTRCTCTTATGAGCTCTAATCTAGAGTTCTTACAGCAAACCACAAATCCTATCAAAGACAAGAAGTAACCATACTGAATTCAAACTGCTTCACTGTGTCCCCTACCTTTCTCTGGTACTTCCTTCTCCACTTTGTCTGGCAGKGTGACGTAAGAAAACATCTGGGGTTTGGAAGCGATAACTCTGTCAAAGCTGATCCTGTTCATGGTGTGTTTATAGTCTAATTTCACTTCTTTCTCCAGGCTGCCCATATAGTCTAACACGCTGTTACAGGACACAGAAAACAGAGARCCCACAGTATTTGAGCACAAATACATCTGTAGCTTTACTGCAAACTCCGCCCCTCACTCCCTCCCTCCCAAATTTGCTAACCCAGAAGTTCACCTATCACTGAACAAACACATCAGGAGAACTGTGCAGACAAYGAAGCAGCCAGTAAAGATATTAACTGGACTCTTAATGACAGAGGCAAGTGGGGATTGAGGACTAGCACTACAGGCTTAAGTGTCTTTTCAGTTCAAAGCAACATCTCCAGTGGGGAGGAACATTACAGAGGGAAGGAGAAATTCCACAAACTGAAGAAAGTAGCAGGCAGTTCTGGAAAACTTGGGCTATCTAAGCTGGCCTCCCATTGGCCTCCTGCTGAATACYTCTCATTGTCCATTTCCTCAGCAGAATACTCACGTAAGTACTGAAACMCTGCTCTGTTTGCCTTCCTTCACCTCAGGAAGGCAGAATACTTTACTTTATCCTCATATTTCTGCTCACAGAGACTAATTACTCTCCTGCTCTCTAGTTCAGGCTGGCAGACCATGCAACCCTTCACACTTTCCTGTTTCTGAGCAAGGCAATCAGTCACAGCTGATTCCCAGCAACACCACCAAYGGCTCATGATTCATCAGCCCAGGGACATTAAAATGTCTCCCTGATATGAACTGCATCACAAAAAGATACTCGATTATATACAGGTGGAGATGTCCTGTTTTGTTTGCCATCCCCCCCCCACCCCATGGAAGAACACTCTTTTTAGCAGCTGTTAATAGATAGAAGAGTCACCAGCAGGCAACAGCCAGGTCTCTGGGGACAATGGGTGGTCTGCAGACCAGTWCAGCAATGACTGATCTCTTCCTTGAAAGCACAGGGAGACAGCAAGGTCTGGCATGCTATTTTTGTCAACCTCCTTGCTGTTGAAGGCCACTTAACTGCAGGAGTAAGCTTGGCTTGGTGGGTCTGCATATGGAACCTACTGCATCTGGGAACACTGACAGATCACCCACCCTGTATATGTATCACTGGGCTCCCATCTGCCTACTTCTGATGCCACTCGGGGAAACAGAGTGGTTTGCTTGTGCACAGACAGGAAAGCAGGTGAGATCCACCGTCTGTGAGTCGGCTGCTCAAGAGCTGCCTCCACTGGCACTTGTTTTGTAGCCCAATGAAGTCCCACAATGTTTGAAGACTAAAGGCTGAGCCCCCAGACAAGTACATGATGCTTTACCTCTTCTCATCCTTCAGTTTGGGCATAGCATAGTTTGGAGTATGYATAGCCAAGCGCTTCATCCTCTGCAGGCTTTTCTCATTGATGGTATCTGGCCCCTCTGTGGGCATGCAGTCCACRTACAAGTGGTACATGAGCAGCCCGTGTGTCTTCTTACGCAGGTTCTCAGCAGAGGCCACGCGCTCCGCAAACACCTGYGGATCCTCGGCCAGGAACTGCAGGCAAACTCGAGGCACCCAGTACTGACATGGCAGCAACGGMGGTCTTCCTGGGAAATGAAAGTACATCTTATGAGAGTCTGCAGGGAAAACAAAACTGTGCTTGCAGCACTGCCAGCAGCTTTTTGATAGACAGGATAATTGGGCTGCTTGCARGAGATCAAAATGAGGGACCAAAGCTGAAGGACAGCAAGAGATAAGGAGCAGGGAATTAGCAGCATCTCCAAACYTTTCAAGAGGAGGGTACTTAATTTTAATCTGTCCACATTCGCCTTCAAAATGGCATTGGCTGAGAAAGACCAACATTTTACTTGAAGGCAGGAAAGATACGAGATAGATTAAAAAGAAMGGTATCTCCAAAGGGAAAATCTCAAACAGGGGGTCAAACTAAGGTGTGGAACTCTCTTCCCTGGAGGATTTTTCAGGCAAGTTAAACAGACACATATCAAGAGTGATAACAGGGAAAGGAATTAAATAACAACTTGGTGTCCTTCCTATGTCCAGTTAGGACATATAAGGGTAATGAACCGTCTCTCACTCTGTATGATAGGCCCCAAAAGAACCTTATTCAAAACACACCTTCTGGAGTTATTCCTCCATTGAGGATGGGTTTCCCTTCTTCATCGCGCACCAGACCTTTGCTGTCTGTTTTATGGACCAAGTAGAGCTCTGTCTCCTTGTCATAATCCAGAACACCAACATCAATCCACTCATAGATCARCTCCTGGTTTTTGGGGTCCTCTGAGAGAGCCAAGTATTAAAACATGGTTAGTCCATTCTCCCAAAGGCTACAGAAAATGGACTTTCTTGATTAGAGTGGTGATGTTACAGTCAAATCCATTTGCTAGTTTGAATCTCAGTCAATCTCACATAGTTTCTGCTGTGATCAATTAAATAATTATTTTACGTCTTACAGSTTAGAATTTTCAACTTTCTGCACATACTGGACAGATATGTATCTATATTGATATTAATATGGATACAGGTCAGGACAGCATTACGCTGTCCATTCAGYCTGAGGGATGATCAGGTGAGGTGTTCCACAAGACAGCTACAAGCAGAACTCAGSCATCATGTGCTGGCTGCCCAAAGATACACAGAGCTTATGTTTTATGCTTCAGTTTTGCAGACAGTCAAGCCTCTGGAAGCTGCTCCAGAGCTGTAGATGCCAGTTCCCATGCTTTAAAGCTACTGCTTCAAAGATGTGTTAATATGAGCTGCWGCCACAGCTGGACATCAGTACAACTGTACCTAGTAATGTGTTCTCATTGAGAAGGCTCCAAGTGATGGGAAAACAACATCCACATCACTTAATTTGACCCAGTTTATTACTTGTACATTCACTGCAGTCTGAACTCATCTTTGGATCCGGCACTTGCTCTGAAATCCAGGCATARTATACTGTGTGCAAGTTACCTAACCCCATGAAGACAGCTATGTACCAATAAAGAGAAATTTTGTCTGTGCTGATGGAAAGTCAAAAGGCAAACAATAAAAAAGCGGAAACAGCTCAGGGCAGGACTGGCAGTCAGTGAGATCTCTGGTGTCTTGCTCTRACTACCCAAGCTTGGTCAAAATGAGATATGGCTTTTCCGCCATTYAGAGCTACTCATAGAAATCTATATGCTCCCTTCTGCTGAAGGATCCTGTAACTGTCAGTGTTGCCACACTTGAACTGTAACTGATTCAAGTTTTACCATGTCCAAGTACATCATCTGTAGGTAAAAGTGCTTTTCCAGGCACTGGCTTTCTATCAGAAGATCCTGGCTCCAGTCCTAGTGAGATCCACTCTTCGGGAGTTCKACAGTCAAACTCATCATTGTCGAACACCTAAAAAGTAGGATATGAGTGAAATTAAGAATTACCTCAGAAACAAGGAAACACTCAATAAAAAAATTAATGAAAGGAAAACTTTAACATTCAGTTCCTAAATAGGCTACAAAATATGGAAACCAGTCCAGGTGCAAAAGCTGTGCTGATCTTTGGTCAACAATTTTCTCCCAAACTGCCCTATCTGTACCTCCAGCCCTTTCCCAGGGAAAACAGACCACCACGTGGAGAGGTCTCATGAAATGATACTGCTGAATACTGCATTCAGAAGAAAACATGAGACACCCTTCCTTTGGACACACAAAGCACAGTGAGGAGCACTCTTAAGGATTCTTGGTTCTGACAGAAGTTGTGGGKACCCTGCAGAAGATACTCAGCAACTTATAGAGACCCTTGAGGGCCTGAACAAGCTCCAAAGCATTTCTTTGTTTTGTTGCTTGTTGTGTCAATACTGGCTAAGTGTCCTACCATCCTCAGAAACCTACTGTGGTATAAACAGTGAGACAGATCACAAGTACCAAATRTGCTCTCTTACATTTAGTGGGAGGTAGATGGGGAAGACAGAATCTTTTGTCTCCTCAATGGGTGGGATATTGTCAGGGTCATAGTGCCTTGGCATCAGCTGATTGGAGTCTATCCCCTTGCTGGCTAAGAGCTCAGCAATATCAAAACTGAGGTACAGCCGTCTCCGCCTGGTTTAAATCAGAAGAGAAAATAACCGCTTAATGAGCTCATAAGCATTTCCATGYCTGTGACTCCACTTTTTTACTGTGCACCCCTATCAGTAAAAACATTTTCAGTACACATTGCATCCATGCCTATTTCTTCATTTATACACAAAGTAATTCAGTGGAAGTGATCTAGAACGATCAGTTACTCCAATCTATAAACTATATACATGTACTACTGCACTAATATATTATGCCCATTATAGAGCATACATGAAATCAGAAATAAAAAAAAGAATGATAAGAGGATGAAATAAACACTATTTAAAAACAATATTTTCTTCTTACATCCCAATGGATCGTCTTTTGCAACCCCAGCAATTCTTGCACACCCCACTTTGGAGATACTGCCTTATAGAATAATGTTTTCTTAAGGATTTTTGGCTTGTTATGTCTTGAAAGCAAAAACCAGCACTCTAATCTGCTGTGTCCATTCCACAGTGATGCCTCCAGCCATTTTCTGGTCACTTACCTCTCTACTTCAACCTTCCGAGGGTTTTGCCCTGGAGCACGTTTGAAAGGCATCTGCACTTTGGGCTTAAATGACTGATCAGGGAAATCTGACTCARTGATGGTCTCAGTGGATGGTCCAGCCACTTCCTTATCCAGCACACTGCTTAAGTGCGAAGGTATCTTGAATTTTGTGACTAAGAGACAAAGAGAAACATGCCTGAAACCACCAGGTATCCATTTGCTTTATATTCACACACAAAGGAGGACCCTGCTGTCTACTGGGTTGTCTGCAGAAGTCACTTCACAAGATTTTTAAGAGAAATCAGGCAGACATCAAATTAGAAACAGAAAGAAAGACCTTTTTTTTTTCCATGCTACAATATGTGATTATGGCTCTCCAGTATCAAAATGATGGCACAGAAGAAACCTCCACTGAGAATTATTGTCATGCATAATTTTAGGAGGCAGGGCATTGACCTGGCTCTAAGGAATTCTGTTTTGTACCCAGTTTTGCTACAGACTCTCTACATGACAGTGGGCAAATCACTGTCTCTAGTGCACAGCTTCCATCACTCTCAGAAAGGGATGGGATTTCCCTGCCTCTTTGGGGGCCCTGGGACCAAGAACCAGTCATATCTAGGAGGAACTCGGTCAAGGTGCTGATAAAGGGCTTATTGCAGGGGAAAAGAAGCTGCTCAGGTCATCTTTGTCTGCTGAAGTGCCTATTCACACCTTGGGACAAACCTCTCTCTTCTCAGCTTTTGCTCATGCAAACCACCCACTCACATCAGCAATGGTGTGAGAAAAAATTGAGTTAAACAGCCAACAATCTCGACATTTGGCCAAACGTTTTCAACGGAAATTTGGACTAAGCAAAAAGTATACATTTCCAAGAACTGGCAGAAATTAAACCATGTCATTTACCCCATAAATAAACCAAACTGTTTATATTGCTAAACAAGTTGCAAATAATAGAACAGCAGCAAACTGGGAATTTGAAGCTTAACCTAAATTAAGTAATTGCATGCAAGCTTTAAAAAGCACTATTCCCTAGACAGAGCYAAGCATTGAACTAAAAATAGATTTTAGTGGAGAGCTTTTCCTTTGATGAACTTTCACACTATATCAAGGAGAAACTTAAGGTTCTGGTTTCTAATTGGGCATTTTGAATGTCAGGCTTTGAACCCAATTGTTCACCATGTTCCGTGTGCTTCTGGAGTCATGGATGTGACCTTTGATTTTAAAGCAATTGTGCAGAGCAGCCAATAATGGTAAAGCCAGACATGTCTGAGGATGGTTAGGTACAGGAAGGGTCTTCTAGAAGGTCATTCCCTTGTCCTTCTTAAATGGCCCCTGACTCAACCCTTGCAGCTGCACTTTGTCTGCTTAGAGACAAAAGGAAATGGTCCCTAACTGGCTCCTCTTTCTCTATTTCCCCCCCCTCAGGAAGGACAGCTAGCCTGGCATGAATATGCTCTTAAACACTTGCATGGTCCATAAAATAATTTTGAAGAATTCCTAAAATGCAGCTCTTTAGCCTCGTGCACATCTTTTGCTCAGGGTCTTTTCAGATAGGCCCTGATTTGTATTTGTTGTCAAGGAGCACAGCTGTTCCAATTTTGCCACTTCATTGTTGCCAAATCCATGGCACCATCCATTATGGCACTTTGCGCACTATCAACTATTTATGTCAATACTTAGTGTTTCATTTGCATTTACATTTCCAACCTGATGGCTTCTTCCCCCTTGAAGAAGCGGCAGATCATAAATAGAGTTCTGTCTCCACTTGTTAAAGATGAGTCTAGCTTGTCAAGATTCACTTGAGGAAGCAGTCATTTGTCCTCACTCATGAAAATAAATGTCACATCTAAGCACAGGAGGGTGGTATATACAGTTCCCATCTTTCTCTAAAATCCTCTCACACACACACTTTCTTCCCACCCACTGCCAGTCTATGATCCATATCCCCAGGAGTGCACTAGGGGCCAGGAGAGTGCTGGCAAACCTTCAACCATTCTCTATATTTGAGCATCCATGACACAAGTTCTTGTAAGCAGGTGGCACCACCAGCTCTGTACACACAGAGAGCCCTTGCATCTAGGGAGAACAATCTGCTCTGGGGTGCAGCTGGGTGCAGAATAAATAAATAAATGAGAGAGCACTATGATTTGGCTATGGCTACCTAAATCCTGAGCACAGCAGTCACAGGCAGGCCCCATTTTTGGGGCTGTTGTGCAGGGCCAGCAGTTTAACTTGATGATCCTTGTGGGTCCCTTCTAACTCAGGATATTCTATGGTTCTATGATTTTCACAGGGAGGGGACATTGCTGGCTCTATACACAATAAGAACACATGCAAATTCAGTGCTTTCCTGGCAGCAGGACCAGAACTCCCACAGGCACCAGCACAGTCCATCTTGAACTCTGGGGGAAGTGCATATATCCAGGAGGAAAGGAAGCATGGTTTTACAGCCCACTCAGATCACTTTGCTGCACCTCTAAAAGGAATTCACTTTTCATTGGATATTCAAGCAGYTCAGCACCCATTTCTGAGCTCTGAGAGGAGAATGAAGGCAGAGTCAGCAGCCTAATTCCCAGCAAGCCCACTACAGGCAACCTTAACAGTTATGGCCCCATTTCCTGCCCCACCAGGTTCCCTCACAGTGTATTTACCTTTAGGGGTGTGTGGCTCCAGGSTCGCCTGGCTCACCAAAGACTGAGACGCATAGGGGGCAGCAGAAGCACCCTAGAATGTGAAGGAAGTGTCAGAGAAGACAGAGCACAGTCGTGGCACAGTGTCAGTAAGGGTTATACAGGTCCACAGGGAAAGTGAGGCTGTAAGGCTGACTTTATCAAATCCTTAAGGACAACTGAAACTGTGAGTAATGGTTAGAAAAGGCTCAGAGACACAGACACCTGGAAGGTTCAGCCCAATGCACAGGGTCAGGGGATCTGCCTGCAGCRTGTGGCCTTATGTCAGCTTAAGATGTTGACTGGAGGCTGATTAGTCATTGGAGTTTTACTACCAAATATCACCTGCAGTCACAATCACAAGCCTGCCCTGCCATACTGACGTCCTAAACCCAGGCAATCGTGACAGTGCTGTCACTGACTACTGAGGAAGGCAGCGCAACTCTGACCAGGATGAGCCTCACRGCTTCACTTTGTAAAGGTCAAGGTCTAGCACAAAGGCCTGTGGGCAAAGCAGGGGCTAGGACCTGGGGTGAAACCTGTATRTGTCCACACCAGGTGTACCATCAGTCTTCTCCTTTTAGGACAGTGCTAGAAAAAGAACTGCTCTTTGCACTTACCAGTGAGGTACTGGAGACTCCTGGAGTAGGGACATCAGCAGAAACCTCATCGCTGCTACTGGGTTGGCTCCTACTCAGAAAATTCTTCAATTCCTTCCTTGCCTTCTCCATCTTCACAGGGGAACAATGCTCTGACGTAACCCTGGGCTTGYTATGAGTGGAAAGACATTGAGCCTGTCACACACTGAATCTTTGGCACTCCTCCACACCCTCCCACAGTGCTGGATATCCCTGACTTGCTATGAYGAGTGAGTAACATGGGAGGTTTGATCCCCTGATTTGATACCAAGCACTGCATTCACGGCCTGGGGGCCATCAGACTCACGTGGCTGCCTCAATGGCTCACTAACCCTGGAGAAAGAGATCGCTTTATTATTCCAGATGGGTTTTGGAGGGGGAAAACCAGCAGCATACATAAGAAAAGCTGCTTTCCTTAAGCAGCAGGGGCTTCCCGGATCTGTGGCAGTATTCAAAAGGCTGCCAGGAGAATTTGGGTAAACTGGGACTGCAAGAGAAGTACTACTTTTGCTGCACCCAAATCCCTTAAAAACCTTGTCCCATTTGACTCCACTGGGAGTAGGCTACAGCCTAGGATACCAACACAGCTACTCCCAGGTGCAAGTCTGCCTCTTTCATTTAAATAATTCACGACAGATGTTTAAGCATCGTCTAACACATACTGAAATATAGCCAGAAGCTCCCCTCTTTCTCCTCCTGTAGAGGATATTTTTGCTCAGCTCACAAATAATTTCAGCTCTTCCACCTTGGGAGACGCAAGTCCAGGCAAATATCACAGCTGTACAGCTTTATTTTATAAAAACCTTTGTGCACTGAGAGATACCAATTAAGAACAGCTCTCAGACTTCTGGCAGRAGGGTACTGCAACCTTTGATTTTAGGCTTGTCTAAACACAGAAAACAGCTAAAGCGACACAAACCCCCYCAGCCTGCACACTCACGTGCTGATCTAATGATGTACACATACCTGTGTAGCTTATTCCTATAAATTATGAGTCAAAGCTCTGCACAGTGTCTCTCAAAGGTACTCYGAGGGCAATACAGCTTATTGATCAATTCCTGCTCAGGGCTAGACACAGACTCCTCATCCAGCCCTACTTGACTAGTGGTTTGTCTCCTGCACCCTTGCTAGGACCTTGCTTACTTCTGGAAGCCAAGCCTCAGCAGCAGGAGTCTTCCAGCTTCCCACAGGGAGGCACTGGAAAGACCTYGCCTGGTCTTGCAGGCCAGCACTGGCACAGTCCTTGTCTGGAGTCTCATYCTGACCTGGAGACAGCGCCACAGGATCCCTTCCTGTCATGCCCTCTCTGCTCTGCTCTTAAATGGAGTGAAAACTCTGCTCACCCTATACTCCTTACAAGAGAGGGCAATCTTTTCAAAAATTCACCTTGCTGCCTGCCTGTGAGAATGAATCTGGTACAGGCAGTAGAGAAAGCATTACATGCATGCCRGAGATAAGAGGGAATAACTGTGCTGGTTTATTACTGCAGGTTCAAGCCAGTGCACAATTTTGAGAGGTTGAATCAAAAAAGAAATCAGATAATAAATCAAGGTTACCATGATGCGAATCTTTTAAGTGAAATGGAATAAACGAACAGATTGGAAAGACCTGGGAGATGAGATCAATAATACCCCCTCCCCTCCTTCAAGCTAGAAAATCTCAAATCTCTCTCCTCTCAGCTTTGCTTTGGCATGGCAACTGGAACCTCACACCCTGAAGAATGAATTTTCCATGGAGGATTTTGTTTTTATTAGCTATTTTATGCTCTGGCCATATCTATTTTAGCAGCCCAGCAGGACTGATTGGAATCAGCCAAGATCCAAGGATTCCTGATGAATCACTGCTGGACTCTTTCGTGCCTGCTGCACCGGCACGGAGACCAGCAGAAAGGCAGAACGACCCTGCTGTGCCTCTCCTGATGTGTCACCTGAGCATCCTCTTCTTGGGAGCAGGGCCAACGTGGCAACATGACTTGCTGTACTTTTGCCTTAGGACCAGAATCCTAAACCCATCCAATTAAAGAAGCCAGCTCCAAGACACAAGGTTCACCTGAAGCTTTAGTAAGGTGAATGACTGAACCCACTCCTAATTTAGCAGGACTGGCAATCTCAGCCTAGAACAAAAAAATATGGCTGCTGTCCATGATGGACAAGTTCCCATGACTGGGGRAAAGTGCACCAAGCCAGCTCACAGCAGGCTTAATTCTCTGCCACTTTGCTCCCTCTGTACTCACTCACACCTCTGTAAAATCCTTCCTGAGCACTTAGGTCAAAATAAAACAAACCCTATTCAGTGTCCAGATCAAAAACATCCGTCATGCTCTCCCAGCTGCACAGAGGGAAGGAAGGTCCTGAGTTTGCAACTGCAAAAAAACCCCTGATACACACCACTCAAAATAAAGAACAAAACCAGGCATCCARAGTTTTCCCAGCACTTTCCCAAACAAATCAGTAAAACAGCTTGTCTGGCACACTAAAGCTGRTGCAGATATTGGAGAATTGCAAATCACCAAGGGTCTCCTACTCTCCTSCCACCTCAGCTGCTGGGATGTGGCTGGGTTTTCCAACAAGGAGTTTCCCAGAGCATGGTGGGGAGATTATTCCAGTGCCAGCCTCCAGCTAGCAGATGGTTTGGCTGATCCCATCCAGCTCTCAGGAATGGTCTCCAGGCTGGTTTCAAAGATGAGAAGAGAGACCTCTCTTTTATTCAGCCTAGCTGCTGAGACAAGGGGTTTACTGCAGAGCAGTTACTTCTTTCCAAGCTTCCAACACCAACAGCCTTTCCATACCCCCAAAAGAATGAGCAGCATGCAGACCTAGGGCTGTCCTCCACTCCCTTCACCCAAGGGTGACCCCAGACCCTCATYCCTGGGCAACAGAGCTTGGTGTGGATTGCCAGGGCCCACGGGAGGGAACACCTTCCATCCTGCAGTGAGCCCACAATGGCAGTTCAAGCTTTCAGCCAGCTGTGTTACAGCAACTCCTGACAGTACCACATACTTGTGCTGAAGGATTCCTTGGTTGTCCAAGGGATCCTGAGGAAGAGCAGTGAAACTGCCCAGTGCCCCATCACACTCCAGCTGGGGGCAGGAGGCTGGATACCTGCCACATTCACAGCCTTCAATCCCTTCCTGCCTGGTGCACCTTCTTCAGGGCTGAAGCTCTCCTYTGACAAAGGTGTAGGAAACACGAATCCAGCTCATTGGGAGGTGACCCTCCTCAGTAGTCTTTCTGTCCCCATTGCCCCTGCATGCCTGGGAGCATCTCCCTGTTCTTTGCTGGCAAACATCTGCYTTGCACCAAACTGTCCCAGCTTCAGCTATAAAACCTTTTCCTGACTGCTGAAACACCCATCTCTGCTCAGTCATGCTCACTCACACCTGAAAAGCATGTTTCCTAGATATACCAGGTACGATGTATTATGCTAAATTGAACTATTCAAAGTGAGAGCATATTCTTATGGCACTGCTGACACAACATTAACTACAGTGTCTGTGTGTCATTGTGGCAAAACTATAATTACAATTTCTCRGTAAATCCAGGCTTTACACATCCAAGAAGTCAAACTCCCACATGTCTTGCTCAACGTCTGGTASGAGCTTTTTGATCTGTTGCCTCTACTTTAATTCTTTGATGCAAAGCTTTGACAAAATGGGACTCTTTTCTTTCAAATAAGGTTCAAAATGGCTAAAAATTGCAACAGAAGAAGAGAATAGTACTTTAAATATCATCTAACCCCTAAGCAAAACCGCAGATTGAAATCTAGTATTTATCTAAAATCTATTTATCTGTGGATAGCCAGAACCCCAGCTACTACACCATCTGGACACCAACATGCAGAAATTCCTTCTTCCTATAATTTAAGYCATACAATATAAGCTCAGACAAGGTGATGCGCTCCCAACAAACTGCTTTAAACATTATCCTGTACTTCAAATCCCTTCTACTCTAAAAAGAGTTGAAAGTAATTTCGAGTTTTATAGCAGCCCATTCCCTCCAACAATTTGCGGGGGTTTAAAATTGATTTTCCTCTGTGTTTTTAAATGCATTCTTTTCTCCGCGGGAAGCACCACCTGAGCCGGGGGGCACAGCAGAGGCGGATGGCGGCCGGTGGTGCCCGTTAGACCCGGGCTCAGCGGCACCGTCTGAGCCTGCAGCCACGGTGGGTGCTGCGAGACACCCCGCCAAGCAGTCACACCGTGCCCCCGACAGTGTCTGTGTGATTTACGAAGCACAACGCGGATGAAACAAACGCTGCTGTCGGTTTCRTTTCCGAGCGATCCCGGGGTGCGGGAGGAGCAGCCCAGGGGCTGTTAACGTGCGATGTGTGGGGAGGGGCAGCGCCAGGAGCAGCTTCCAGCGCCCACCCTGGCACCAGCCGCCGGGGATGCCCCGCTTCCCGTGCTCTGAGGAATCCTGGCCCTGCCCCACGCTTGCAGTGTCTCAAAAGCACGAGGGGGCTCCCTCAGGAGCCACCCTGCGCCCCCGCCCGCCCTCCCGGCCCAGCCCGGCGGGGCCCGCTCCAGCCCCCGAGCCCCTCCTCGGAGCCCGCAGCCCCGGGCCCGCTGTGGGGTCCGGCGGGGCCCTGCCCGGCCCTGCCCTGCCCTGGCTGCGGGCGGTACGCACCGACCGACCCGAGTCCGCCCCGACGCCGCACGCGTTGCCACGGGAGCAGGGGGCGGGCAGAAGGCTCCGGCTGCAGAGACTGCGGCTCTCCCCCCGCGCGGGCCGTTGGGCTGGTCCGGAGGAGGCGCGGGGCAGCGCGGGCCGGGCAACGCCACGCCCGAGCTGGGGGGGAGAGCCCTCCTGGGGAGGGGAGGCGAGGGCTGAGGGCTGAGGGCTGAGGGCTGCCCCAACGGGCCGCTGCCCCGTGCAGAGCCCCCCGTGCCACCTCGGAGCCACTGCAGGGACACCGCAAAGCTCCCGGTGCCACCTCAGCTGCCGCCGCAGGAACATCGCAGAGCCCCTGGAGCCATCCAAGAGTCACCATCACGGAGTTGTCRCTGGCGTCTCTGAGTTGTCACCACGGGGACAACACAGAGCCGCCCTCTGCTACTTCAGAGTCACCACTGAGTCACCACAGCGGGGCCAACG